TTGTTTCATTCTTGCGAACACGGGAAGAGCTGACTGAACTTGGGATGGTGGGATTGGATTCTGGGGAGTCTCGCATGCGTGAGGGAATCATGGGCAGAGGTAAGGCTGTTCGGCCAGCGGGCGCCGGAGCCTATTACGGGTTGAGAAGCTCGTACTTAGCACGGGGTTCGTAGAAACTTCACGTTGGAAAGTCATGTTATTGCAAAGAGACGTGCTCAAGGTGGAGGGTTGGTTTTTGATTGGGAATTCTACGGCCCACCATAGCCTGACTTGGCTTGTGGTCGTGTAGCTTCGGCTTCGAGGGGCATAATGGCCTGAAGGTGCTTCTGCCGCTTCTGGGACGACGGCTCGGGTGTATGGCAAAAGATTTTGCATCCCATCTCAGTCTGGTTTCTCTATCCTCGAAGCTGCTAAACCTCTTGAGAGGAAACCCACCTGCGTAAGCACGCCTATGTTTGAGAACGTAGAGCGATGTACATACCATCCGAATTCCTCTCTATGGCGACGAGCCAATGGCGGCCACGGGACCCGTCCACACGCAGCAATATTTCTTGTGGGAGCCCCCGAGAGCCACCGTTTGCGTCCGTAATCTGTGCTCTGCTCTCCCAGCAGATTCGCAGACATCAGTTCTGTCTAGGCTTCACAAGCCCATCGTGCATAATGTAGTAGACCACCGTACTATCATCATGTAGCGTAGCCAGCAGCAGTCTCTTCTGCCGATTCTCCCCCCGCCACCGAGCCCCGACGGTTTTCCCGTCCGCCTCCTCTCCCCCATCACGGTCCCCTTCTCCGCGCGGCACCACGTCCAGCGCATCAAACACAGCCACGAACTTGGCCAGGCTCATCTTCTCCTGCAGGTGCGTAGGGAGCACCCATTCCCGCTCCGGCCGCAGCTCGATCGTCTCTCCGGTGGCGTGTTGCGCCTTCAGGATATCGACCTGCTCGTCAGGGTGGACATATGCCTTTCTAGGCGGCACGCCGGAGATGACCGGACGCGGGAGGAGTTGCTTCGTGCGGGGAGAGTGCGTGTGAACGGAGATGGAGGTCCAGTGGTGCTCGAACCGCAGGTTGTGGACCACGGTGGAGGAGAGGTGGTGTAGATGCGCCGGGTGAGCAGAGCAGTCTAGATCCGGCTTCGAGGCCTTCAAGATCTCTTCGAGAGATGATGCCGGCGGCAGTTCATCCGTGGCGGATGGGGACATGGTCTTGGTCTGCGTGGTGGTTTGGGGGTTCGCGTTCGTCGGTAATGGCGTGCAGTCATACCGGTAGGTATCATAGCGTCAAAATTACCGTGGGATCCTCTTCAGAATTCTCGCTTGGGAGCAACCTTCGTGTGGTGCCCTGTCAAGCTTCTGCCAATAAACTCAAAGTGCGGTCGGAGAGCTGCTTTGGGACTGAAAGAACAAAGCTGGATATCGTGTCGAAGGAATTGATGGGAGATGACATAGGTAACTCTGTGACCTCAAAAAAAGTACCACAATGTCACACATGCATTTAGCGCCATATCCTTAAGCAGGTCGTCCAGATGAGCGAGTAATCTTGCAAATAGTTTCTTGGAATCTGGAGAGAATGATAAGTAGGACTGCGCTCGCCGCCCGCTCTGCCATGCTCTATTATGCCTCTACAATTCAATAATCAACTTTGATACAGCTATCCATCCCGCCTCACTCTTCACAAAGATACTGACGGAGCCACCGCGCCCGTCTCACACCTACCTTTGAACAATCCCGTCCCAGTCAACATCAAACCACCCTCGGCCCTTTGGACTAAGCGTTCTTGCGCTCTAAAATACATGGCAGCTACGATCCTCTTACCAACGCAATATGGCGTCCCGGAACCATTCCCTACTCTGAGCAGGCCTAATTCTCCAACGAATCCTCGTCAAAAAAGCATCGATAACAATCGCAGTCGCCGAGAATCCTCAACTTCGACACTTCAGGGCCGTCGGCGAAGTGCCTCTCAGACCTTCATGGAATCTAGTCCACCTGCTGGTTTTATGATCGCAAGTTCCAAAATAGCATCATCACTTCCATCCCCAGCAGAGGTCAGGAGAGGCAGCTACGGAAGTGAGGGTTGGTTTGGTGAAAGGCAGATTGTGGAGCAGCAGAGGCGTGGAAGCACGTCAAGACGTAAGAGCTCGCAAGCTTCTACATCGACAGGAAGAAGAAACTCTGCTACGCCAGGTAGTCGTCACGAAACAACGTACCAAGACAACATACCAAAAACTGTGATGGAGTTAGCAGTCGAAACCGAGAACCAGACTGGTGCTGCCAAAGTTGGATCTTCGATGGCTGCACCCACAAACGACAAGGGCTTGGATTCGAGGCCTAGCAATGATGCCATCATTACAAGGCCATTTTCCAGTAACAAGGACGCCATCGAGTACAAGACCACTCCATTCGATAATGGATACGAGTTCCCGCCGAAGCACAAGTGGACCGAGTCGAGCGTAATATTCCTCAAGGCAGCTTGGATCTTCTTTGTTACGCCAATTGGTTTCTTGGTTGTGGTTTACGGTCTAAACATCGTTGCTTGGGGTGGAATGCTGTTCTTACTGTTGTGCAATGCCTCGCCCGCAATGTGCAAACCGACCTGCAACGATATCAACTCGCCTCGCCGTATCTGGATTGAAATTGACTCTCAGATTTTGAACGCTCTCTTCTGCGTGACTGGATTTGGGACAATCCCTTGGAGATTCCGTGATCTCTACTATCTGATGCAATATCGCATTCAGAAGAAAGAGGTTGGTCTCCGAAGGTTGGCTGGTATTAACAGAAGCTGGTTCAGGCTGGCTGGATCGCAGGATCTTCCGGTGACTTTAGGACCAGCGGAGGTTGATAATGAGCTCTTCAATTTCCCAGAGAGCAGCATTCCGTTCCCGGTTTCCAGAATCCCGGATGCTCCTCTGACTGGTATCCGTGCACCACCCACGGCTCTATGGAAGCTGGACCTTTTCATCTGGACAATGGTCTGGAATACATTTTTCCAAGCTGTTCTGTCGGGCTTCATGTGGGGTCTGAATCGATACAACCGTCCATCGTGGAGCACAGGTCTCTTCGTTGCCCTGGCTTGCATCGTCGCTGCTTCTGGTGGAATCGTAAGCTTCATTGAAGGCAAGCATGTCAAGGCCATTGAAGGAGTTCCAGTGTCCAAGGCAGATCAAGAGCGTTTAAGACGTGACCGAGAGCTGGGGATTCTTCATTACAACAACATTAATGCTGAGAAGCCAAAGGAGAAGAAGGTAAAGGAGGAGGAGGAGAGTGGGCTCCTCAAGCGGAAGCTGAACGGGCATGAGAAAGCTCCGATCGAGAGCGCGTTGGAGCATGGTGCGACTCAAATTGTCAGGTAGCGATGGCGTTTCCTGGGACCTTCCTTTGGAAATATTTATAGATGTAAATGTTTTTCGTGGAGTGTTGGCATTTGAGAGACCCGATTGTACAAGAGGGCGGCTAAAGGTATATGCGAAAAGAGCCAGCACTCTTGGCGAGTATCCGATCATAGTAACAAGCCTCTAGCTCTCCGTCGACTCTCATTTGAGAAGATGGATGAGAGAGGTACCTAAGTAGCATTACCGAGTGTTACTACGAGTAGCTAATTAGTTGGCCTCAAACTAATGAGCGCGGATATCCTGGGAATGCGGGGAAAATGCCAAAATGCATATCAGTACTTACAGTAAGTAAAGAAGCGTTCGGTCTTCGATCCCTGTAGATGGGAATCCGACATATTTGACTCTGCTATATGGGAATCGTAGGATAGGAACCCGGGAAACCCGGCCTTCCCCTCCGTCCATCTATTGACTCGTGCTTTGCAGTCGAAGTCCCTGCAGGTTACTGATTTGGCTAGATCACGTGCTGCGGGCAATCAATCGTCTTGGCAGATGAGCCCGGACGATGCGTCGGCCTCGTCGACACCACGACAAAGGAACTCTCGTCTATTGAGACTCGTTTTCAATGCAGGCGAGCCCAGCAGTATTTTGGCTGAACAGTAAACACCGGCTTCTCGAGCACAATACCTGATATACCCGTCAAGATGACTTCCAAAGCCCTGGTCCCTCTGCTGATCAGCTTGATGCTGTTGACCGGCGTCTGCAACACACTGCTCACCAAGTACCAGGTGACTATTTGCTCTGTCTATCTGCTCAACTGCTAATCATAGGCCAGGATAACATATGTGTACGCAACTGCGAAGACCCGAGCCCCAAGAAACGCCACAACTTCGAGCAGCCCGTCGTCCAAACGATCCAGATGTTCATGGGCGAGATGGGCTGCTGGCTCTTCGTCGGCGCCTTCTCCCTCTACAGCCGCTACGTCTCCAAGACCCCATCCGCGCAAGAGAACGGATACACGGCTGTACATACGGACGAGCGCAGCATTGAAAGCGATGCCGCCAGCGTGCACTCCACTACCCCGATAAGCCCCGCTGTGAAGGCGATGCTTATCAAGGAGAACCGGATCCCGCTGAAGGGATGGAAGGTTATGCTGTTGAGTCTGCCTGCGACATTGGACATCTGCGGGACGACGTTGATGAATGTCGGCTTGCTGTTTGTGGTGCCCTCTATCTACCAGATGACACGAGGAGCGCTGGTGCTCTTCGTGGGACTGCTCAGCGTTATCTTCTTGAGAAGGAAACTGCATCTGTTTCAATGGTTTGCGCTGTTCACTGTTGTCGCGGGAGTGGCGATTGTTGGGCTGGCTGGAGCCATTTATAAGGATCATAAGGCGGCTCCGGCTGCGATGATGGTGGTGAGGGAGGCTGTTACTGCTGTTCATGCTACGGCCAGGACGTCGGAAGCTCTGAGGACTATTCTTGGAGTATTCTTGATTGCAGGAGCTCAGATATTTACTGCGTTTCAATTTGTACTCGAAGAGCACATTCTCGAGAAGTACGCCCTGCAGCCGCTGAAGGTTGTGGGCTGGGAGGGAATTTTTGGCTTCTCCATTACTTCCCTTGCGATGCTGATTGGGCACTTGACGATAGGAAGAACCGCTGCGGGCAAATACGGATACTTTGACATTGTTGAGGCGTGGAGAGAGATCACGCAGTACAGGGATATTGCCATGTCTAGCATCTTGATCATGATCAGCATTGGGTAAATCTAGCTTGTCCCTAGCAAAATTCTTCCACAACTAACATGTTGCAGCGGGTTCAACTTCTTCGGCCTCTCGGTAACGCGAACCGTCAGTGCGACTGCTAGATCTACGATCGATACCTGCCGAACCCTCTTCATCTGGATCGTCTCCCTCTTCTTGGGATGGGAGACCTTCAAGTGGTTGCAGGTCCTCGGTTTCGCCCTTCTAGTCTACGGAACCTTCCTTTTCAATGGATTGGTCCGACCGCCTCTCGAGCGTTGCGTGGTACGAGACTACGAGGAGTTGTTGCCCGAGGAGCCAATTGAGCATCATTAGGCAGATCTGGGTAGGTGCAGCATTTTCTTGGGGGCGGGAAACTCCAAAGTTTTGGCTTGGGGAGGTGTTTTGGCGTTGTGATTTTAAGGAGTCTCCCTTTTCGGTCCATAATCCGAATCTCACTGCTGCTTCATATCTCTGGACCTTTATGCTTGATGATAAATGTGCTCGTCCGTCCGACCTTGCTGCGCCTCGTCAAGGCCTCTCCGGCCTACTAAATTACTGCCAGTGGCCCGTTCCACATCCATGACATCTGGTGCCACACATACAGAGTGGGAAATGGAGCCTTCCAGGTTAACGATGCGATAGCAAATCTGATCACTATCGCTAAGGTATCTCATGTCGGTCTGATATTCCTGGCCAAAGTTTTGGTTGATGTGTCCTCCTTATCCCACAAGCAACTGGACGATGGAATGTAAGTAAGTCAGTCAAGTAGGCCAGCTAGCTAGCTGTACGAGTAATTCAAATTTTTTAGCGCGACTGTTATGTTATGTAGCTAGCTAGCTATACGGAGGCTACAGCAGAGTAGAGGATGTAGGCGGATACAAGATGAGATGAGATGAGTTTTGATCGATCGATCGATGCAGCGATATAGTGATTTTGGAGAGCTGAGCCGCGCCGGTCTTTATTTGCTTGGGGGGCGGGAGTAACGAGAATAGCTGGATTGGGTTGACTGGTTTGATTTAATGAGAGAATAAACCAGTAAAAGATTTAGAGATGTTTTTTTTTTAAGTAAATGAATTGACTTGGGAATATGAGCATTTTGTGAAAACTCTTGCTTGATACCCGGTTGTCATTGAATCGATCTCCCGCAGGTACGGAGTAATGCGGTGGTGATGAAGTACAGAGAGCGTGTTTGTTTTGCTTGTCGCAAGCTCACCTGCCTGCTCCGTATTTACAAATGCGCCTAGACTTGGCTTGATAGGTACTTAGCTCCTTGCGAAACCCCAAGCACTCTTATCCACTACCTACATGTGGCCAATGATGAATACCTAATGGAGGAGTGATACGGCATGATGGGTAGTTACGCGTCAATCCGCCATCCGCTGGTCTGTCTTTACGGTACAGGAGAAGTATATAAGCGAGAAAAGGGCCAAATCAAAAAGAGACGAGGCGAGGCGAGTCGAGTTGAGTCGAGTCGCTCCTCAACCCCATTCTTCATCATGGATCGACGGAGTCGAGGTCTATCAGAATTTTGATTGCGGTGGAATTTTGCTGCTTCAAGGAGTTACGCATTTAGCAGTGCGCATCCGTCAAGTGCTTAGCAGAGCAATACCAGAGCCTATTGCAAGAAGAAGAAGAAGAAGAAGAAGAAGAAGAAGAAGAAGAAGAAGAAGAAGAAGAAGAAGAAGAAAACGAAGAAGAAAAAGGCATAGTGCGAGAACAGAGTGACGATGACGCAAAGGAAAGGAGAAAGGATTAGCCAGTCGGCGGCGACCGACAGAGTCGTGGCATAGTATATCCATGGTTACGGGAACAAATTCAGCCCTCGGGGGGTGGCTGGATGAGCATGCGTGATTTCGTTACATCACACCCAGCCCTATGTACACCTCACCCTTCAGCGTCGAGTGAGCTTCGAGCACATGGAATAAGAGTGAAATTGAATCATTCCAGCTTGCTTAGTTGGCCTGGCTCGTCTCAGTAAGTGAGTCTTCAGCAGCATGGAAATGTTGACATGGTCTATCGTTCGTGCGGTTCGTTCCCTTGCTGGATGGAAAGAAGAACGGCGTTCGTTCCAGGTCACGTCAGCAGACGACTTGACTTGAAGCCTTGAGGTCGATGAGACGTCTCGATGGTCTCACTAGTAGGATGCGGCTCACAGTCGACAGCATGCGGCGCAAGGATGTGTGTGGATGGATGGATGGATGGACGGATGACTGACTAACTGCTCTCACTTTGTTGCAGATTTGCCAGGTTTGGCGATATACTTCTACTACGTATCATTGTTCATTAGAGATCCCTTATTATTCGTACGAGATGTTTCATTCCTGGTTCCAAGAATATACTTAGGTATGACGAGGAGCATTCGACGAACCATTTACTCGTGCGGCCAGCATATCTGTCCCGTCCCCACGTCGGAAATCATCCCAAATAGTAGTATACTCCGTGAAGTCGAACTTCCTACATTTAGGCATAGCCAACCAAATAAAGCGCTACAATCCCTTTCCCCGGTTTAAAAAGATTCAGATCCAACGCATGAGTACTTAAAAGCAGTTAGGGGGTCATTGCAGCGGTCCAATGACCCTTTTTTATAAAAGATGGTCATTAGACCGCCTAAAGTCAATACTAAACCTTATTCAGGAATAGTTTACCGAAAAGACCGTCCCATGGAAAGAGACTGTTTCTTGATCGGCTTATAGCCATCCCCGTCCATATTTCTTAAACACGCCTATTCAGAAGCTCATATTAAATATTTAAAACAGTCTATTAATCATCCTAGATAAGACACGATTACAATATAGACATCCTCCTTCTAATACGGTAGTATCGTATTGATTATAATTCGGTTCTTCAATTGATTCAAATATAGTTTGGTTTCGTAATCTTAAATATTTATGCTAAGATATTTCTTGGTATCGCTACTACGGCTTGAGCTTCAACGCTTTAAATGATTTGAAATCGGAAACGATCGATTTAGCCAAAGTTTGCCGCGACCCGCCTTATTCCCTCGCACGGCAAGGCTGGGGGCTAGATGAGCCGTAGGGGGAAGCCAAAGTCAATTTATAGGAATAGGATGTCAAATTACTCGCTTGCTAATACAGTAATGACGGAGTTGCTTACTGATATAATTTCTAGGGGACGGATTTCGGCTCGGGGACGGCCCTGAGAGGTCCAAAAACGCTCGGAGACAGTCCTAAGATAATCTATTCGTAAAAAGACCGACTTTTATAAACGACGAGTCAATCGACTAGAACGGTCTTCTGTTAGTAGTAATCTTTTAACGAAAAGACGAGCTCTTACAAACGACGATTTCATCGATTCAATCGATTTTATTTCAGCTACGATTCAGATTATATGAATTGTTTGTTTTCAGAACCTATTCGATCTTACGTAGTACTTCCCCCCTACTCTGTATGAATACATGTCAAAAGTATAATTCTGCAAAGGATCTTACCAGGGCTTAAACCAATCAACTTATAAGAATACAGCCTCAAAAAGTATCGTTAGGGCAGTATTTAGTCTATGCAATCAAGTTGCCAGGGCTTTGAGCCATTCAGAAACCACCGCTCTACGATTTGTAGGGACAACTTGGGTCTGACATTTATTTATGGGAGGGGATAGTAGATATAGACCTGGCATGATCCACCAGCTATGCCCACCTCTTGAGACTATCCTTAGAAGAGATCGTTATCGGATAAGCAGCTGACCGTCTAAACAACCACTTACCTGCCATTAAGGTAAAAACAGATATGCTAGCCGCACGAGTACTTGCCTTACGATTGACTTATCTCTCTAGCTTTATTTATAATTAAGCATCCTCGTCACTTGTCCTGCGATCCCTTAAATCAATCCTATAATTCAGTACCCCCGTCACTTGCCCCACGGCTTACTTATCTACTACTAAAAGTACTGCGTACGTACGTACAAAGGGAAACAGGGGATTGAAGAGTGGAACCCCTTTGGACGCATGGTACGGAATAGTCAAGACCTAGGTAATCCAACCTATTACTATAAGCAATTACGATAATCTCTTCAAATTGGAAAAATAAGATTGCAATACTATAAATAGTTAGCAAGGCGTAAATTCGACTCTGTGTGCTGACTATTACTGGCCGTACGATTATTTATAGCCTAACGTAGAAATTATCAAGACGGGTTTGTGAAAAAAAAAAAGGATATATATATTTCCTTTTATTCCCGCACTTGCTTCAAAGTTACCTTCATCATCCCCTCTCATCCTTTACGGGTATAATTCCCTTTCGTCAGCTCGCATTATTCATTAATCAAAGAACTTGTGTAAATAAGTACGATGCTACGGTCGAAGTCCATCTCCGCGATTTTGCTACCCTTGAGCTTTCTTATTAGTGTAGCTCAAGCATGGCCTCAGTTTCTGTCTAAACCAATAACCATCGGCTATGCTACCGTTACCCCAGTAAGTTTCGACTTGATTTATATAGTATAAGCTTATACTGATTACGCGAACTGTAGGACGTGGCTGAGCGCATCAACCAACAGGATGGCAAGCTATATGTAAGGAGATCATTCTACGAGAAACCACTAGGAGATGGCTTTTATCTGGGTGAGTTGATCTGTATAGATCGTTACCTACTTAATACGCGGAGCTAATAATTTAAATAGTAAACGACCCCCTTACCTGGGAAGGTGTTCATAACAGTTGGTATTGTGCTATCACAGCGAAAAAGAGTGCATATAAACGATTAGATAAAACCTTCGTCCCGAGAACCTATTGGAACCAACCCGAAAGCGCCATCGTGGATTACCTCAGGTCAACAACTTGGGTAACAAATGCTGAGACAGCGCTGAGGTTTTCATGGATTGAGGGTAACAATTGGGCGCTGCAAATGCTTATTCCAAAGATTGTGATAGAGGAAGATCTCATGGGGTTGCGGGCTAAATGTTTCCAATCAAGACAGGAGAGGAATCAACTTACAGAAGAATTTATTAAGTGGGACGATGCGTCGCTCAAAGGTGATCGTGGACCACGGCACCCTCCTGATCGGCCGAGCCGTTCATATTGGGGTTGATTGTTGTTATTGTTGTTGTATTTATCAACGTCGGGTGGGTGGCAGGCTTTGCCTGCCGCCCTGGGACCTCCTATTGGGTACGGCGACGTGCTAAGTAGAGGAATCAATATGTAAAGTAAATTCTAATGGATAGCAGAAACCACGTTGGGGGAAATCTTTCTTCAGATAGCCCCGGGTCTCTAATCCCGCGGTATCGTAAACTCCTTTGATTTCTGAATGGCTTAAAGCTCTACCAATTCTATTGCACAGATTAATTACTGGCGCAAAAATACTTCTCAAGACTAGGTAAATGAATCCTTACTGTACTGTATAAGTTGATCGGCTTAAGACTTGGTAAGATTCCTTGCAAAATTATACTTTCGACATGCATTCCTGGGAGGGTTGAGTATGGTTGGCTACGGTCAAATTTAGTAAATTCGACTTTACAGTCCACGGTTTTACGATTTATGGGGCTAGACTGGGTCTGCACATCTCCGTATTCATGGGGACTGTAAGGATTCAGCCTTGAAAAGTATCTTTAAGCAAGTATTTAGTCTGTGCAATAGAGTTGTCCGGGCTTTGAGCCATTCAGAAACCATCGCTCTACGGTTCATGGGGCTGATGGGGGGACTACACTTATACTACGTAGTTGTACGACTTATTTAGGATGATTTTCGACATGGGGACATACTAGTACTACGTACAACTAGAAGTATGCTGGCCGCACGAGGGCCTCCGTACTGATCTCCGTATTTCCCTTTGACAATATAGAGTTCCGTCAGGTAGCCAGGATGCATGCCTGGAAGAGGAGTTGAGGCTGTGATCACTTCTCCTTCTCCACGCTTTCCATTTGCTTTCGGGGTTCGTGGTCATCGATGGCTTTTTGCCGTCGCCGTCGTTGATGTCGCCATCGTCGTTGTTGTCGTCACCGTTGTCGTTGTTGTTGCCGTCTCCGTTGTTGTTGTCGTCGTCGTTGTCGTCGTCGTCGTCGTCGCATCGCCTAGAACCGCAATGCTCAGCGCTGCGCATTCGCTGTTTTATCCCGTTGCTCTCCCATCACATCCTCTCAGGTTCCCTGCCCTGCCCTGCTCTGCCATGCTCTGCCCTGCCCTGCTCTGCTCTGCCCTACGAAACTCTGTCGCCGCATAGACATTAGACTCGGGCCTGGGTATGCTGCTGCGCCTTCTCTGCACCTTGCACCTTGCTCCTCCAGCCTCCTTTTCCTCCTCCTCGGCCCTGTCCACTGCCCAGTCCAGTCCAGTCCAGCAAAGTCAAGTCGGCGTAGTCTCCGTTCCGTCCTTATCGTATCTTCCTGTGTCGTACTCTATTGTACTACTCTGGGTGTGTATTGTGTACTGAAGTCTGAGACTTACCTACTCCGTATAGTTTCCCGTCGTCGCACGGTCAAGCTCCACCGCCGCTACCCCACCGGATGATTATCTGTGATTAGACGCCTCGGTTCCCCTTCGACTGCCCACTAGTACAGAACTCCCCTTCGATTCCACATACACCTCTACATCAATATCCATACCACAACCTCCACGACACTACGATCAGACGATGTTGGTTTGCGAGACTCGCCAGAACTCCAGCAGCCCATGAAATACAACCTGGTTTACTCGCCAGGTTCAGAGCCAGACGTGCCTCCGCCTTCCGCTAGTGCTGAATCGAGCCCTGGCCCGGAGGATCGTCGCGAAGGCCCTCCACGATTCAAATCCCGCCCCAGTCCCGGCGATGCAGTACTGATCACCCTCATGGCGGGAGGGAAATACCAGGACATTGCGCGCGACGCAGGAGAAAAATCGCTGGCTTCGGGAATCGAGGAGGAAGGGCATAAACTATCACCGGTGAGGGGGGGTACGGACGTGGTGATCTCAAGCCTAGAGGACAAACAGGACAGCGCGACTGTCATGGAAGAAGCTGTCGCGCAAAGCAATGGCGTGGTGGATCTGGCGACCATAGCTGCGATGCAGACACTTGCTGCAGATGCTTTGAGGCAGGCCGCGAAAGGGAGTCCAGAGCCGGCGCAAGAGGCTGCTCCCCCGCCGAAGAGCCCCAGACCGAAGGTCGAAGTTGATTCTGAACCAAGGGAGGGCCAAATTCCGACTGCGGTGCCTCCAATAAAGACATTGTTTGTGGATGGTGCAGCGTCAGCTTCAGCTTCACATATTTCGCCCGACAGGGCCCACGATATGGTCGCGTCGCCCGCTGGAGAGCTGCCACCGATTCGGCACTCGCCGCAAGCGATTTTGACGAGCGGCGCCGGTCCAAGCCAAATCACGTTGCCATCCATCTCTGCTCAGCTTGGGAATTTCGAGCACCTTGCCGAAGCTGCCGAGCCTGTATATTCAACATCCCCACCAGGAAGACCTCCCCAGCGGTTTTCAGCGGCTCCAACCCATAGCTCACCTCCCAAGTCACCGAACGACGTGTTTCGAGGACTCCCATCACCTGGTCGAAATCTCTTCTACCCGGCCTATACCAACGGTCACCGGAGGCTTTCCCAAGGTAACGATAGTCTACCTCAATATCAAAGTCCTGTGGATTACCATGGTAGCAGTAGCACGGAGGCTCCAGGTTCGGGGACCGATGGAGCAGGCGCACTTCCTGCTACTATGGCTATTGATCGTATGAGTATTGATGGAATAACAAATCCGCAAATTGGAGGCTTTCAATGCACGCATCCCGGGTGTACGGCACAGCCATTCCAAACCCAGGTAATTCCTGATTGTAAAACCCCACCATATCTTTCAGCTCTGACTTATGTAGTATCTCTTGAATTCTCACACGAATGTACATTCACAAAACCGACCGCACTACTGCAGCGTGAAGGGGTGTCCACGAAGCGAGGGCGGAAAGGGGTTCAAGCGAAAGAACGAGATGATCCGGCATGGGCTAGTCCATGACTCTCCCGGCTATGTCTGCCCTTTCTGTCCAGACAGAGAGCATAAATACCCTAGACCGGATAACCTTCAGAGGTAGGCCATCAGATTGCTCCCCTCTACCACCCACGGAGCAGCATTAACAAGCGTCAGGCATGTGAGAGTACACCACGTAGACAAAGATAAAGATGATGCCCAGCTCCGGGACGTTCTATCTCAGCGACCCGAAGGTCCTAGCAGAGGGCGGCGCCGGCGAGGGACCGCCTCATGACCTTTCTGCGTGCTGCTTGGACTCGAGCTCGGGTCAGGAGCTTCGACCGGGGCAGCATTGTAACCATGATCCAAGACCATGAGATCTCCAGGGCTGGATATTCCACAGCATATGAAAGTGGAATGAGTCTCCAAGAAGGAGGAAGGGCAGGCGGGATACGGCCGGAGACAGGTGCGCAAGATATGCAGCCGGGTTTGAAATGATGTGTGCTCTGTGCACCTCACGATGTTTTGAGACGTTGTATTCCAGCGAACTGTAACAGGCGTTAGGCGCGGAGCGGGCTGCCTGGCTGGCTGGCTCACATGTAGCCGTTGGTATCTGTGGCTCTACTTGATGTGCTACGATTTTGACATTGATATGATGCGGGCTGGAGTTTGGAGCTGGTGGAATTGGCTGCTGCTAGGTTTAGCTGGGCTTGGTTCGGTTCGGTTCGGTTTCGGTTTGCGGTTTTCGGTTTCGGTTCGGTTATACCAGATGTGCTGCGATCATTCAATGGCATTGGAGGCTCGCGGGCTTTTTTATCATCTCTTTATTTTGCGAAGGATTTTTTTCCTTTTCTTCTCCTTGGACGGCTGCTATCTTAGGGAAAGGCAGATAAATATTACTGTCCTTTACGGGTGTTGCGGCTAGCCTGATTTGTGCCCTGCAGAGCTGGCATGGTTGAGTTGATTTGGTACTGTAAGTAGTGGATTATAAGTTGATGGACATACTTTACTACCCGAACTACTTGCTGGCACAGGATCAAATCTCTGATCGATTCACTACAGTGCTCGGATTTTACTACGTTCTTGTTTTGCTGATCTTCGACATCAAACTTCAATTTGGATTGACTTGCGGTGCATGGTTTCTATATCGCGTCTTCTATTCCCTTCACAATTTCCTAGAGTAATGCACGTAAGTAGTCGAGTAAGACTACCAAAATGCAGCGGTATCGTCCTCTCATCAACCATCAACCATCAGGTATCATCCATCTCCCGTTCCCCAATAACCCACCTCAACAGGTGCATCGCTCAAGATCTCGACCTCGACCTCGTCAACGCCTCCTCGGCCCCCAAGCCGTTCAACAACAACCCAGCAACCACCCTGCCGCCCCATGCCGGGACCCAAATCCAAATCCCGGGTCCGGATGCCCATGGGACTGTCGCTAAACTCGCCGTTGGCGCTCACGTCCAATAAACACTTATTCGGGCCCTGGCCCAGCTCGATCGACAACTTGATCAGCGGCCGCGAACGCAATGGGTACCCGTAGCTCAGGGCGTGCGGGGATCGCGCGATGATGCGCAGCTTCGTGAGCCGGGAGGCGTTAAGGGGAGCGAGCATGCGATCGCACGTGTCCTGGAAGACCAGCCGGGGGAGACGGAGTGAGAGTCGGCCTGCCGTCTCAGGCGGGAGCGGGAGAACCGTGCAGGGCACCTGCGAGCCTATGCGGAGGGTGAAGTTTCCGGTCTGGCCGGCTTCGAAGGTGGAGCACACGATGGTGTACTTGCCGGCTGCGACGCTGGGGAGGGTTGCCAGGGCGCAACCGCGGCGGTAGTCGCCTGAGCCGCCGACGATGTCTTTGCTGGTGACGACGGAGACGCGGAAGCCGTCGGCCCAGACGAGCTTGACGTGTACAGCGAGCTCTTCCTGGTCTGTTTCCAGAATGAGGGTCAGAGGAGAGGGAGAGGGGAGAGAGATGCTGAACTGTGGGTTAGAGGGATAGGTGGGCGCCGAGGCGTTGCCGCCTGCGGTGCGGAGGGTCCAGGAGCCGGTGTGGGTGGTGCAGTGCGGGAGAGAGTCAGTAGCTTTGTCGATGGCGAGGGGATAGCGCGAGAAAAAGGAGAGGGTAAAGGAGTACTTGGGGAGGGGGAGCCCGTGTTGCGCTACGACTATCGTATAGGATTCCGAGGGGGAGGCGTCGATGGTTGCTAGCGTTTGAGGGGAGTCTACGAAGGCTCCGCGGTGGATTGCATCATCGCTCAGATATACCCGTCTTCCCGAGGCCGAGAAAATATAGAGGCTTGTAAAGCCTAGTCCGCTGGAGCCCGATCCTGAATAATGGGATGAGGACCTTGATTTTCGTGCTATGTCTTCGTCTCCTGTTGCGAAATGTCGGCTGAGCATAATCCAAACCGGTCCAGAGGCGGATGAGGAGAAAGCGTATTGCGGGTTGTGGATAAAGCTGCCGGTTTGGATGGAAGGAATTGTCCATGAGAAGTGGTGGTCCTCGCGATTCTTAAAGAGTCCCGGATTCCAGTTCAGGTAAAGTGATTCGAAATGCTGTGACACGTCTTCGAAAGTCATCCAGAATGTACCAGGAGACATGGACTCGCTTGGAAGAGCATCCTTGAGATCGGATGTCCATGACGAGTTTGAAGATAGTGCTGCGGGGATGGGCTGAGATCCTTTCCATACCATGCCATCGCACCAGGGGTTTTTGACGAGCATGAAGTGCTGTGACCCGACTTCTTTTATGTCAAGGATTGCGTAGTCGTGTTGGCCAGCTAGTCCAAGGGCTTTCTCTTCTTTGAGCGAGAGCTTGCCAGTCCCAAGGGTGACCATGATATCTCCAAAGCCAAAAGACTTGTAGACCCGGGCCCATAGTTGGTCGGGTTGGAGATCATCACTTAGGCAACCATAAATATTATGTTGTACATATTGGGGAAATGGGGTACTGACCTTCGAAGAAAAACTTGCTCTGGAATCCAGCCCGTTATCACCCAGAGGTCTGTTCCTGAGTTTGATCCGGGAAAGTCATAGCCACCTCTGACTTTGAGATACGCTTTCTCGATTAAAGCAGGCCAGAGCAGGTGAGGGTTATTTCGATCTATTACATGGAGACTACGTGATGTATTTGAAGACGGGAGACGGTCATCAATTACCACTTTCCTAAAGCAGCCGTTAAAATGTAGACGAAATATGTATTTGCCATTTTTGGAGACTCGTAATCGTCCTTGAAGCTTGTCACAAGGGTATGTGATTGAAGCTAAAAGCTGTCGCATCTTAGCAGAGTCTTTCGAACGCGGTATAGAGGCGTACTGTTCCATGGCCTTTGACAGCACGTGCGGTCGCAGCACAGAGGCTTGCTACCACAGAACAGTCGGTAGTGATGTCTTGCACAAGATCAATATTCGGAGCGATGGTCATCTGCAAGCCGGCATGCTGAGGGAAGAGTTCAGAAGGTCTTTTCCATCCACCGAAGTTGTCTATCTGACACTCAGATAATGAAAGATCTCCTGGCTCACTGAACGTGTCAGGGATTGTGTCGCCCTTGAGGAGTGAAGCTCTAAAACTCACTTGAATAATGGCGAACCGTCGAACTCCTCTTCGAATATAGAATCTTCGGGATCACCGGTCCACGGAGGGAAGATGAAGCCATGAAGCTTGGATCCTTCCAGCAAGATGAGCTCTTCCTTTCTGGTGATAGCTCTTCTAGAAACAGGAGCCTTCAAAGTGAGATCTTTATCTACTGGAATCCAGTCCTTCGACTTCTTGATTTCTTCGGCTCTGGAAATGAGCTGTTTGCACTTCCCTTTCAACCGGGTCTTATCCCGATCATTGCTTGCAAGACTGGTCGCTTTCATATACAGCTCGGCCGCTGCAATAGCCGCCTTCAAGGCATCTTCTTTGGTGAGTGATGTATCTATGCTGGACTCAGCTGCCTATCATTGGTAAGAGACCTGATACTGGGTGGAGAAATGGATAGAAATACCTTGGCTTCGGCCTCCATTTTGTCATGCCGCCGCCGCGATACTCTATCATGACCTGTAGCGGCAACGTGTAGTTGGAGGGCTAGGGAGTTCTGACTTTATACGTACGAGGCGGAGGAAGGGAGTGAAACGTGCCGGCCACGCCTCGTCCGGAGTTTCTGTGGCAGCTCACTGATCGACTGCACCGAGTTTCGGCAAGCAGGATTGAGAACGCAGCTCAAAAAGAATTATAACAACTTCCGGAGTTCCTAATACTACTTATGCAGAACCCTGCGAAGGAACGGTCATGATTAACTTACCGAACAGCTGACCTCAGCATAAGCCTCATAAATTCCGTGAAAGTGGGACCTACCTAGGTAGATGACGACCCTTGACACTGGTTAACAGCCGAGGCACGATACCGGCCTTGACCTTTCATACGCTTCCCAACTTCACACTTCAAACTACAAACTTCAATCTTCACACTTCAAACATCATGCATAATACATGATTGGACTTTTTTGTGTAGAATTCGATGCCATTCACTCCTCCAGTAACTATAATCATATTTTACTTCTTCTAAACAGCATATCCTAAGACCAGAACGCAAAATCTCCGGGCACTCAGTCCTCAGAACTAGGACTCTCAACGCAGCGCTGAGGATATACTTTCCCACCGCAGGTCACCATGGCTGGACAGTCGAAAGAAGCTTCGATTCCTGCCTGGGGACTGGCAGTTGCTGGAGCTACAGGTGCTGTTATTGCCAACGCTCTAGTATATCCTCTAGACATGTGCGTTCCTGTCCTTCGATCCGGAATTGGACCGACCGCCTGTCGCGCCAAAACCGAAGGAAGACAACATCTGCCCGTCGTAAATCGCGATTGCTGATAACTTTTCTGCAGTGTCAAGACTCGTCTGCAAGTCCAAGTAAAGCTCAAGCCGACCGATGCACCGTCGACAGTCATCGAAGACCCGCATTACACTTCGACCTGGGATGCAATTACTAAGATAGTCGACGATGATGGATTTCTGGGCCTGTACAACGGAATTAACGGCGCTCTCATCGGCGTCGCATCCACGAACTTCGCATACTTCTACTGGTATTCCGTCGTCCGCACGTTGTACATCGCTCGGCAGAAAACGCCGACGCCGCCCAGCACGATCGTCGAGCTGTCGCTAGGGGCTGTTGCAGGAGCTGTAGCACAGGTGTTCACGATTCCCGTGGCAGTCATTACGACTCGCCAACAGACACAAAAGAAGGGCGAGCGCAAGGGCATGCTTGATACTGCGAAGGATGTTGTTCACAGTGAGGATGGATGGACTGGGCTTTGGAGGGGCTTGAAGGCTAGTCTGGTGCTAGTTGTTAACCCGGCCATCACGTATGGAGCATATCAGAGATTGAGGGAGGCTATGTTTCCTGGGAAGCTGAATTTGAGACCCGGAGAGGCTTTCTGTGAGTACAATTTTTGTGTTATGGCTTTGGTCGTTAATATTTTCCAGTGCTCGGAGCGATCTCCAAGTCCTTAGCGACGATCGCAACACAACCCCTCATCGTTGCCAAAGTCGGCCTTCAATCCAAGCCCCCGGCATCCAGAAATGGCAAGCCGTTTAAAAGCTTTGTTGAAGTTATGCAATTCATTGTCCAGAATGAAGGATTGCTTGGTCTCTTCAAGGGCATCGGCCCCCAGATTACAAAGGGTCTCTTGGTACAAGGTCTTCTCATGATGACCAAGGAGCGTATGGAATTGATATTTATCCTTCTCTTCCGCTACGTACGGAAGGTTAGAGGCGAGAGGCTCGTAAAGCTGGCGGATCTTGCTGCTGCAAAGGCGAAAGAGACTTTACCTATTGTCACAAAATAGATATGAGGCTGCAGGTTAGATACGTGGACTTAGGCCGGTGGGATTTCATTGCTTGGTTTTGTGGAGTGGCCATGGCGTTTGTAGATATGTGCGGCTGATGAGTACTTATACGAATTCATTACCAGTGTTTTACTACCTTGCTGTTCGCTTGCTGTCAGTAACTTTGAGAATCTTATTTAAATGTTCAACCTGAAAAGAGGTTTTGAAATGACCAGGGGAGTTTGCGCGACGAACGGTAATGCTGTTAATGACAAAGTAAAGAGTTGCTAATAATTTTTGGCTGGACCGGGCGAGATTGGTAAGATGTATACGGTTATGGCTGTACAGTGCACTTCCTATACCATGTGGGCCTAGATGAATCAGAGCATTACTCCAAAGAGTGTGACCCGCGGAAGATGCAGCATTGGAAATCTTCATGATACCAAGAAGAACGTCTCGGGGGCTCACGCATTTTTATATCACGTGACTATAGAGCAATTGAGTGGAGCTAAATCTATTTAGCGACTAACATCCGCACATTCTGCAAACGCTTTTATCACCGCTGTACTCTACGATCAAGACAACTCAACCAAACTCAAGTCCAACTCTTTGAGAACAGTCAAAATGGCGAGTGAGTCGGTCCCGCCCTTCTCTGAATACATTATCTCGCTTGCTGCAACTGCCTCAGATTATAAGTCTTGGTCTTTGATTCTCCGACGACGTTCAACCACTTCAGCTTCATCATTCGAAGCTTGAAACCCTCTGAATTAATGCTGACACTTTTAATAGAGTCAAAGAACTCGTCTCAGCATAACCAAGTGAGTTTTTACATCGTCCTCAGCAGCCTGTCCGTTCGGAAGCTAACCCATTTCACAGTCCAAAAAGGCGCATCGTAACGGGTATGTGGCCTAGTCTCGAAAAAACCCTCCCATATTGACATTTCGAATCCAGTATCAAGAAGCCAAAGACCTCGAGATACCCTTCTTTGAAGGGCACCGACCCCAAGTTCCGCAGAAACCACAGACATGCTCTCCACGGTACAATGAAGGCATTGGTACGTTGACAGATCCGGGCACGGCATATAGAGGACCATACTTATACCCGTCGCAGAAGGAGTTCAAGGAGGGTAAGCGGGAATCGGCATGAATTCAACGATGAAGGTTCTTTCTCTACGGGACTTGGGCTGCGGAATTGCAATGGTATGGGCGCGTGGTACTTGGGGGTGAAATCGACATGGGCAACCAGGTGCTCACGGATGTAGTCCAGTCTCACGAATCAACATGAGCAACATCGAACCAGAATTCCACGAGTTCTCCGACCAACCCCGACGTTTATACCCTGCGTTCTGCGTTGCAATTTGCCTAGGAAGGTATGCGTGACGAAAACAAAACGAAAGGCATTTGTGTGTACAGCTTTACGAACTCTTCCCATGTTCATCAGCTGAAGGTTTATATCTTCGTGCCAAGATCAACTTCCAGACTCCTTCATTACCAAAGACCTTTTCTCAATACTCTATGGGTAATTGGTCGATGAAGAAGGGGTTACATAATTTGCTGAGGGTCTGGGGTATTATGCGGGATTTTCTCTGACTGTAGCCAAGTGGTGGTGTAAAGCACCTATTCTGTACAGTACTGACAAGACGCAGACAACGGTATAGTAGGATGGTATAGTAGGATGGTATCTATTGGATAAAAAGGACTTTGGATCATAGCTTGCCTATCCTTATATCTCGCGGGAGTGAGCAACCGCAGAAATATAGGAATGGTGTAGACGGGAAGATAGATACAGATGTCCGACGTATCATATATGCTTTAGTTATGTATGGTGAAAGTTTGTATAGTTGATTTGAGACGTGTTTACAAACTGTGACGGACTGACTGATGTACCCACCTACCTGCCTTTAGCACAAAACGTGAATGCGCTTTTTTTAGTAAGGTGCAAATGTTTAAACACTTTTACAATATGGACTTGGAGAGCCCTTAATCGCCAAAGTTATAGTGGACAGTGGCCGGGCTCAGAATCTATTACGTTGAACCTCGCCTTGAATCAGTCATTGCCAGAACTAATCCTGGGGTTAACGGACTACCTCGTCTCGAACCGGGTCTCCTTGTGGCCACGCTATTGTTTAGGCCGCTTCGACCACCTTGGATGGACTCCGTTTATCCAACTTCAATCTCAATACCAAATCGAGTTTCATCGCTGGACGGGATACCTTCCGTTCTGTCACACTATACTGTACAGCTCTGTTGTAAGTCAATTAATAGCTAGTCAGTGAATTCGAGCCAACCCTGACGACCCCTTTCTCGCTTGAACTTTCCTAATGGCCTTGCCACGCCTACGCCTTTCCACTTTGACTTTGTCCGAAAACCCAAAGCTGAAGCCCAGTGCCCATACTCCACTCTGTTCTTGAGCTGACTGCCAAAATCTCCGCTAGAACTACCGGTATTCATCCACCTCCTCCTCCGACCTGCAGCAGGCTGCTTTATTGTCTCGAGACCGATACCGATAATTATTGAATTCACGAATGAACGGAAGCTTCTGCTTGACCTTCAACACTCGTCTTTAACCTCACCAGTGTGCTGCATTAATAGATCTCGGGGATCTGCCGAAACACCATTCATTCACACGGTCCACAGCCTGCCCTGAGTTCAATAAATTGTTGCCACTCGACAATTCTGAGGCTTCGTTTCAGATTTCCCGAGACACCTATCTCGAACCACTTTCTACATAGCTTCGACTCTCCCGTCTCTCTGAGTCCAGTGTTACTATGCTTAACATGTCGGCCGTGGGTAATCGCAACAGTACACCTGTCGATTCTAGCTCCTCCCTCCGACCTCCTGGATCTGCTCGAACCCTAGGTTCTGCCAACCATCACCTTCGTGCATCCGCAGATATGGCTGCCTTCTCCGCAGCCCCCTCTACGAGTCGAATTCGACCTTCTTCTGACTATTATGGCAACCAGAGTCAGACACCCGGAGGGGAGAACGATACATCTGATAAGCTTTCTCAGCAATGGATTGCAGACATTGATCAGTATGAGAACACGTTAGAGGAAATGGCCGCAGCAACTCTGGATCAAGATTTCAAGGACGAGCTGAGCGCAATAGAGCAATGGTTCCGAGTCCTGAGTGAAGCTGAGCGTACCGCTGCTCTGTATGCTCTTCTTCAGCAGACGACTCAGGTCCAGATCCGCTTCTTCATTCAAGTTCTTCAGCAGATGGGAAAAAACCATCCGATGTCTGGAGTGCTGTCCCCTGCAAACTTCGACAAAGGTTTGTGCGTAGTCTTTTAACCAATCTGCTGTATGCTAATGATATTATGATAGATCCTATGTCAAGCCGCTTGACTGACGCGATGGGCAAGCTCAGTACTGATGGCTCTCGAAATTCGTTGGGCAGACCCCCTCCAACTCCAGTCGCAAAGCGACACTCTGGTCTCGACCCATCTACAATCAATGCTATGTTCCCTGATGCCGCCGCCGCCATTGCTACAGAGAAGGCGAAATTTGCCCAGCAAACTGGTAATCTACCATCATCAAACCGCAACAGTGCTGCGTATGATCCGCGTACTTCCTTAACGGCACCTACAATTTCTGGACCTGCGGATGCATCAGAAAATAGCGGAGTCCCTTCATCTCCATGGGGCATTCGCAACAACGATCAAGCTACTAAACCCAAATCTTCAAATGACCAACCACCAATGGGCCAGTTCATGCAACCAGCACCCTCTGCAGGCCTTCGCGCGACTTCTGGTGGAAAGATTCAGAGTACCACGGTCTCTACTCCCGATAATCAAGGTCAGGATATGTCAGTGCTTTCGCCGTACAACGCCGGAAACGGCAACTGGGCTTCCATGGTAAACACTCCCATGGTTGCCAACTTCAACAACGGAGGAAGCTCGCAGGCTGATATGGTAGCAAATGCCACCGCTATGAAACTCGCGGCCCTCTCCACAGTCAACAACCGCTTTGCTCTGGACGATGTTCGCAAATTCCGTCGTGCTAGGTCCAACGACGGAGGTCCACTTTCTCCAGGTCTTCAAAGCAATATGTCGGGTGCTAATGTTGTGATGATCAATGAACATGGTCATGTCTTGAGCAGAGACCAAATTATCGCCCTTCAGGCCCAACAAAATGCTACCTTTGGTCAGAGATCCCGCCCAGCATCTCCCGGTCTGGCCATGCAAGGTGGTGGTTTTGGTCAATTGGGTTTCGCACCCCCCCAAAACAATGGCTACCTGGCTGCCTACGGTGGAGCTGCCCCTCTGGTAAATAATAGTATGGCCTCCCTCACCGTGGGCTCATTTGGCCTGGGAGGAGGTCATGAGGGCTATGTCTCCGATGATATGAGCCGAGGCCGATCTCCACGTGGTAGAAGAGGCAGCTCGAAGCCTCCGGAGGATCCAACTGACCCAAGCTTGCTCCAAGACATCCCTAGCTGGCTGAGAAGTCTCAGGCTACACAAGTACACCGATAACCTCAAGGACATGAACTGGACCGAGCTTGTTGAATTGGATGAGAAGGCGCTGGAGGAGAGAGGTGTGAATGCTCTTGGTGCACGCAGAAAGATGTTGAAGGTTTTCGAGCAAGTTAAGGGTACGTCCTCCCAACTGTTTGCTGCCACATACAAGCTAACGTCTTTACAGAGGCAAAGGCGGAAGGGAAACTTTCGTGATAGCGCAGGTTATTTAAGGGAGCTTAGAGAAACGTTGGTCTGTACCACTAGTTCACGCTTTGATAGAGAGGAGCCAGGGAATGTCGACAGGATCTGGACTGGGCATTGGCATACACATATACGCCCTTGTACAGTCTCCGTGAGATGCAAACCGATTCGTCAACACTAATTCTCCGCAGCTCAAGCAACTTGGAAAACGGGTAGTTGTTAGATAAAATGAGTAACAAGAATGGATAATCTTCACCACTGCCCAGTTGCATTGAATATGCCTTGTGAATTTGATCATACTTGAGGAAAATGAAGCCTTTAGTTATTTGATTTTCCCATCTGGACAACTGCTTAGCCATGTCGATATGATTCGAGTGTAAACATAAGCTCATCATATGATAAGGCTGCAGATGACAAGGGTTGGGGTGGGGTACCCCACTAAGAACCGCTAACACAAGGCTCACTTTCGGCCTTGTTAAGAACCATAAACCTCAAGTTCACAGCAAATACCAGACCCGAATTTCACACTCCTATTCACAGAAACTCTAGGTGTACGTACGACAGCCTGTTTTCACTGAGTATGTCAGCATGATCTCAAGGTCTGGCCAACCTCTATCGACCTCGACTTCGAAAACTTCCTCCTGTACCCAGTAATCCTTTGGAGACATGATGGCGTTCCCCAACCCCAACCCCGACCCCAACGAAGCTCAACCATGGCAGCACGAGTACTTCGAGACCCAGAAATCTTTCATGCGTCGAAATGAACAGACATCCCAGAGTAATTGGCATATCAATTACGACTATCCCCGAGAAGGGAGACCTCAAGCAGCCCCGGAAGCTCCTAGGAATGCACTACAGCCGGAGAAGACCGAGCTGGTAGAAAACAACACAGATAAGGACACAGAAAGAGAAAAAGAAGTTGAACTCCAGCCAGATTCTCTAATGACAGACAATATCGCAGAAGAGGATGAAGAGCCTGGTTCTTCCTCAAGCGCAGCAGAGGACAGTAGGTACGTAACGGTGCTTCGCTTTAATAAATATGCTTTGCTAAGAAGCTGCCAGTGACGAATCAGATGAAGATCAAGAAAAGGTGCCCGATCAAGACCCGGATGAGATTGGATTCTCTGCACAACTTAGAGAGTTTCTTCGGCCCAATTTCAGCGCAGTGTTGACTGGCAGAACGGAGGCTGTCTATACTTTACCAGAAGGCGCAGATGATGAAGATGAAGATGAAGATGAAGATACAAGGAAAGTCAACGAGCCATGGGACAACACCAGATGGGGCCATCTTACAGACCGTCGTCACAAGCCCAGAGCGCCAGGAGTGCACAGAGGCCCCCGAAAAGCTGCTCCGATGACACCAGAAATTTCAATGCTACTATCTCAAGCCAATGATTCATTTCAAGAGCAGAATTATCATACCGCCGCAATGTTTGCCCTGGACGTTATTCGCATCAACGCTGAAACCCAGCAAGCCTGGACTACGCTCGCTACTATCTGGCAGGAGGCTGGAGAAAAATCACACGTTGCGAAGTGTTTGGTGTATGCAGCTCACTTACAGCCCACCGTTGTATCTTCTTGGATGTCGGCAGCTAGATATTGTCTGTACGACACAGGGTCCGAGAAGGAACTCTTTCTCGAAACTGCAATTGCTTGCTACGGGGCCGCAGCTCGTGCTGATCGCCGGGATCCAACAGAAGCACGTGTGGGGCAAGCAGAAGTATGTATTGAGATGGGCAAACCTGGCAGCGCAGCCATTGCTTATGCGAAGGCCCTCAAAACATCACCCACCAACCTCGATATTTTGAGGAACCTGGCTGAGGTATGCGTGGATGCAGACCAAGCCCAATTAGCCATCGACGAATGGGCGAAAGCAATCAAGATCTTAAAGGCTGCACCTGACGACGCCCCGCTCGAATTCTCTTGGGAAGATTTATCTACATATATCACGCTGTTCGAGGACATCCGCGACAGGAAAGCTGTGATCAGAGAAATCAAGTCAGTTGGCCGATGGCTAAATGGTCGCGAAAAGGAGAGTTTCTGGGACAATGTTGAAGAGAATGATTGCGAGTGGGATGCTGATGACTCGAGGAGAAAAGACATCCCAGGTTTCGTTGAAATGGCAGAAAATGGCACGCTTATGCCACTTGAAATCCGCGTCAAACTCGGGATGAACCGACTTTATTTAGAAGACTATGAGGAAGCGATGGTTAGTAATGCACACACAAGCGAGAGAAGACCTGCTGATGTTTTCCCAGGTACATCTCTCTTGTCTGGATCCCCTAGGAGGGTCAAAAATTGCCGACTACCACCATCTCTTTCGCGAAGCAGCGGACGCCATGTTCGAAAGAGAGCGTCACGAAACGGCAATGGTGTTTTACAAGGCCCTCAAAACTCATGGAATCGAGGTCGACTGCGAAATGATGACTGCAATGGCCAGGTGTCTAGCTACATTGGGCGATGACATCGAAGCCATTGCCCACTACGAGGAGGCGCTGGTACTCGATCGCACTGATGTTGACAGCCGAATGGAGCTAGCGAAGATATACGAAAGACATGAACAGTCCGCCAAAGCGTTTGCCCTTGTCAACGAGGTGATGAATATCCACAAGAGCAATCGAGACGATAATGCCCCTCGTCGCAAGCGATATATCAAGAAGGCACTGAGTCAGGACAAAGCTGTAGAGTCTTTCCTGAGGCCCGATTTCGGTGCTACGGTTCCAGGACGTCGTCGGCGTGGAAAGGGGCGTAAAGAACATGTCCCTAAGATTTCAGGCGGTCGCCGTAAGCGGAGGGCGGATGAAGACTATGAGGCTGTCATCGACGAAGCGAGGGCTTTACAACAACAGTACAAAGTCATGACTGAAAACGTTTCAGGGATGAGGCAGGGGGATATGGAATGTACACGTGCTTGGGTCGAAGCGGCTACTGCGCTTACAAATGATTTCAGAATGTTCAGGGACTTCTACCCCTGGGAGAGCATCAAGAAGTTTATGGGGTATTCTGACGATACACTTGTACAAGTTCAAACTCCGCTCGATAAGGAAATTGAATCCATGGCTGAGCGCCTCGCCAAAGGTATGTTGGTGTGTTGTTAACTCGGGCCACTGCTATTGAACTTACGGTTATAGGTCTCAATGTAGAGATAGCTGATAACAAGAAGCTTGCTTCGGCTAGCGAAATCCCAAAAGACTACCGTGGTCTTTCCTTTGAAAAATGGCTGGACACGTTTCTCGAACTGGCCATGTGCCTTGCGAAGTATGGGTACTCTTTGGAGGCGTACGCTATATGCGAAGCTGCCAAAGACTGTGTTGTATGGATGCATAACCGCGAGGACATGTTTCTCATCTCCACGGCCTGGGGTAGTAAGTCTGTTATAATTACCCACAATGCTCACAAGCTAACTGAATAGTGTGTTCCCTGCTTTCGAATGACGAGCAGACCGCTATAAAGGTTGTGCAGGATTTTGCGAAGAAATACCAATTCACTACTGATGCTTACCGGCTCGTGTCTGCTGTTGCCCGAGTCTGCCACTCGCCTGTCTCGTGGTATTGCGCAGGCCCAATGCAGAAGTTTGTTCTTCGAGAGGTCAAGACCATGGACTTGCCACTAGTCGACGACGCGACTAAGAAGAAGTACCATAAAAGCGCTGGGGGTATTACCAACCTTGAAAACCAGAGGAACACGGATATGGACATCAACCTTTTGATGCTATACGGCTACATCCTCTTCTCCAGTTGCAGCTACAACTTAGCTATCAGTAAATCAGTTCCTCTGGTAGATGTCCCGTTGCTGACTATCTCTTCCAGACTACTTCCTACGATGCTACGCAATGGATCCTGAAAATCCAGTCATCAATCTCATGATCGGCCTCTCCTACATCGCCGACTGCTTGAAACGCCAAACAGAGAACCGACTGTACAGTATCCTCCAGGGTACTACTTTCATGCACACCTACTACGCATCTCGCAAAACCTCTCCCCATCTCGAAGAGCGTCAAGAGGCCCATTACAACATGGGCAGAGCGTATCATATGCTTGGGCTTCCACACCTGGCGATTCCGTACTACCAGCAGGTCTTGGATGAGGTTGTAGATGGCGCCGCACGAATGGGTCGCGACGATTTGGTTACCGACACTGCGTATAATCTGCAGACGATGTACGCAAATGCTGGGAACCTGGAGATGGCGAGACAGATAACCAAGCGTTGGCTGGTGATTTGAGCTAACCCTTTTCATGGACGGATCCCACGAATGCAATTCTTTTGCAGCATCACACTCATCGTTATGCTATCTCAAGCATGCACCCTCGAGTCATACTGGCAGGCGTTCTTTCCCATTCGCACGATAGACATGTGCTGACCATATGTGACAGATATCCGGGCGACTGTGTTTTGTTCGACTTTGACAACGGACACGTACCACAACTCACCGGGTATCAAGTTCTATGGACACTCGATCTTCTCAACTGTGATGACTAGAGGAGCGAGCAAATAAATCGCATTGGGAATGCATTCAGCGATGAGATGATTAAGTCTCTCGAAAGGCGATCTAGGCAGATTTTGAACTAAGCTAAGCGCAGATCACAAGTAAGACTGGTACCTAGATCGCTGACATCCAATGACGCGAATACTTGCCTAAAATGCCGTCCTCCACCTTGTAATCCCATTTTATTTTCTTTGATGGGAATCAGGCCACGTAAGCAAATATTCGCCTACTTGTGCTTTTTTCCTTTTGAAAAGCCTATTTTTTTGCCTCAAAAAGTTTACTTGTAGGCCCGCTCTAGTTTGGACTGGGAGATGCTGGGTGAATGAGTCGTGGTATACTGTGTTGTTTCATAGTGTAGTATGTTTATTCTTTTCAGTTGGTCCCCCTCAACAAGAGAGGGGCTCTGTTTATTTGTTTTGCTTACCTTATTACCTTCTTCACTATCACAGCATGGGATCTACGTTCTTGGGACAGCACAGCATGACACAACACATTGAGTTTGGGCTTGGGGGCAGGTTCGTTGTTCGGGTCCATCATAACGTTGGATCATAGAATAGAGGGCGCTTGCATTTCGAAGTCTCGCTATTTCAAGTCCTCAGCGATCGCCGCACATATTACATAGATACGAATGGAGTTCCAAATGTGTACTGCTTTTCGCTTTGTCTCTATGACTTCGATTTGACGTGACTTCTGGAGCACTTTGCTTTGTTGCAGGAGCGTACGGGAGCCGTGAGTAGTTAGATATTGACGAAACGCCCACAGAGTCGTCAAGTAAGAGCGACATTCGGGTAACATATTAGGTAAAAGAGGACTTGCTGAACTCGTCCGACCTGCGGTTGCGCCTTGGAGATCGCAAATATATTAACCAAAATCTCGCAGGGAAAAAAGCTACTGTTCCAGACCCCAAATAAAATAGCGGCGAATAGAGAGCTATAGACAAGTCACATGTTAACAAAGAATCCGCTACAATTGCAGCTGCTCTCGTCAGGTCAGGCCTCCCTCCCCCAACTCGGGATACCCGATGAGCGTTTTGTTTCTTTAACGGTTGATATTGCATCAGTGAGGTATGATATAATAATTGAGCCTCCTCCACACAAGATATAGAAGTGCAGGAATTGGTAGGATAGCGCTATTATTACCAGTCTTGTTTCGAAGCGAAAAGCCGATATTCGGGGTTTTAACATAGCAGCGATATTCGCCGTTGTAGAATCATCTACGTTGTTGTTCAAATTTAAGAAGATCTTATTAGAAGATTTTGGTCACATGCGAAGGTCCGAAATACGGAGAGATTTATACCAAACAGACCCATGTCGAGATTCCGATTCTAAATGATATCCTAGTTGGTCGGTCTATCTTGATTCATCTGGGGGAAGATGGGACTCTCAAGAACAAAATACTCATGAGGTATTCTCACCGATGTCCAGGATCCATATGGAGAAGTTCCATTGTATCGTCGCCATCAGATCGGACGAATGCGCAGAGATTGGATAATGATACAGTCGGTATCTTGTCTTATCGTGGCTATCGTGGGAGAAATCTGGGCAAGAGCTTACCTCTTCCCCGTCGCTCGGACCGTCTACATAAACCCTGATGAAACAGTTTTGAATAGATAAATGGATGAATGGATGCTGGCTCCACGCCCGCGCAGAATGTAGAAAGTAAATAACTGGCTCGGCCCGCAAGTTTCACGTTTCATCTACAACTACTAGTAGTACGTACTGTACTTGCAGACGCGCCACTATGCGCAGGAACAGATACAGAAGGTAGATATGCATCATGGCATCAGGGGGGCAGCTTGGTCGAATTCTTATTCCTTCTTACCGATCTTGCCGAGGTTCGTGTTATGAGCCCTAGATATCGCGATGTCAACAAGCTCTCAAATGTCGTGTCCGTGTCCAATGACGAATCCCCAGATGATGGTAAGCAGACACGACAACGGCTCTCGAGTCTCGCCAGACCAGACCAGACCAGACCAGATCAGACTGGGTTGATTGTGGGTTGATGGCTGTACGCCGTACATCCGATATTGAGCTCATCTACCCTCTTCACCTCGTGGCTCGCTCCAAGGAACAGGCCTCCTTGCGAATCGTTTTTCGAATCCAAGAATATGAGGGTCTACCGGTACCTACGCATGTTCTGTTTTGTTGGCAGGACTCATGCGGCTTGCTGTCGCTTCTCTCCTGGCATTGCTTCGCTTCGTTAGCTCTTTTCTTGATTGTCCTACCTCGGCTAGCACTTACTCACTCTACTTAGGCCTCTCCCATTCAGTACAACTACCGGTACTGTACAATCCCCCTACCTACCGGTACTTCAAGCCCTTCAAGCCTCAAGGGTATGGTCGCAGGATTGCAGCCGTGCGGCCCTTGATAACGAGAAGAAAAGATCGCCATGGGCAGACAAATCGGCCCCACTTTACTGACTACATGAAGAGACAGGCAGCTCTTTCTTGGAAGACCCCTTCTAATCTCCCTAGACACTTATACAAGTATATGTCCTCTTTCATGCCCGCATACTCTTTTCAAAACGCCAATATTGCAATCGCCCATCAATCTTTTCGAACACCTGTGACTTCGGTCGTCCATTCTTTTAGGGAGCCAGCTCATTAACTCAAACTTTCAGTCGTTTAAAAAAAAACCCCTCTAACTCCTTCTCACCACAACCGAATTAAAATGCAATTGTCCGTTACTACTCTTGCCATCCTGGCCGGTGCCGCCGTCGCAGAGTATCTAGCTGAGCTCCCGGCGTATCCAGCTGCGCTCCCAGAGTACCCAGCTGAGAGCATTGTATATGTGACTCAAGCAATCACGATCAGTATGTTTGCCAAAGAAGGGTCTCCAGAACAGCCTCGATCAGAGAGATACTGACCATATTGAAGCTTCGTGTGCTGCCGCCGTTACGGATTGCCCTGCCCGCAGCACCGTAATCTCCACCACAAGTTACCCAGGTTCGTGAAGCCCGCCATGCGTTTACCCGTTGAAGGAGAGGACGAGTCGTCTCGCTGAAGGTGAGGATCGAAATAACCAAGCTAACACTGCTCAAAAAGTCGTCGTTACCAACAGCCCCAATCCGGAGATCAGCGCCCCGGTCGCACCTCCAGCGATTTATGCTCCAGTCCCAGAGACATATATTCCAGAGACCACCGCTCCAGCAACCTACCCAGTTGCTTCCGTGCCAGACGTCTCCACCCCGGTCGCTGATTATACCCCCTTCGCAAACTCCAGCGTTCCCGTTTCCGCGGCCTCAACCCCGTGAGTACAAACCATCTTCTTTTGGACGGGTTGGGAGCAGCAGGCTCGCGAATCTTTGGCTCAAAATTCTCTCCCAAGCTGAGACCGGATGGATCCAACCTTGGAATTTTTGGTATCATCTGAAGCTAACTTTCATCCAGTGTCGATGTCCCAACTTCATACCCAGTGGCCCCTACTTCCAGCGCACCAGTGAACTCGGTCATCACCATCTCGACCTGCGGTACGTCCAGAGCTATACCCTCCTTACCTTGTCCCAGGAACTTCTCCTTCGAGTCGATACCTCGGGACAACACCTGGATCTCATTCACCACATTCAAAACGCAATGCTGACTGCTTCTAGTCCCGACTGTGATCTATAGCACGGTCACCATAGTCCCCAATACCAGCGTGCCCGTTGCTACTTACGCGCCCCCTGCTCCGTCTAGAACTGGCTTCATGTGAGTGCTTCTCTCAACCCTCGTTCAGCAAGAGAACTAACACGAGAGGCAGCCCATACCCCGGGGGAAATACCACCTTGCCGAATGCCACCGTCACCCCTTCGGCCTATGTACGTAGAAAGTTCTTTGCCCCCTCCCTGCCCCCCCCCCCCCCTCCTCTTTTTCGCTCTCTCAACCCGCCGAAGACCTGCGAAACTCGAAAAAAGAGAGAACAGAAACAGGAGCTAACAATGTGTAACGAAGGTCGTGTCCGGTAGCGCCTCCAGCATCCAAGGTTCCGCTCTCGTCGTGGCCGTCGTCGGTTTTGCCGCTTTTATCTTCGCCTAAACCCTTGCTTTTGCATCTATCTTCTGCAAGCCTGATCTGGCTCAACCGGTATTGTAATCAGGCTGCGGCTTTTACGAAAAACAAAGAAAAAAAAATTATAAAAAAGACTCGAACACAGGGCAGGAATTGGGGCGGGACGGGACGGGTTCTGGCGACCCGGTTTTACCCCATGAGAGAGAGCACGGCAGATTATCTTATATTGCAAAGTTGCAATTCTCATCTATATCGCGTTTCGAAAGCCTCCGGGAGTAGTTTATAATTGATATGATGAATATGAAGAATTGCAAATATTTAAACTTATACACAAAGGCTTTTTTCACCTTACCCACCCGCTCCATTTTCCTCACCCCCTCTCTCAAATACCCAAAATCGCCTTCTGACCTCTTTCTGATTTCCTTTTGACACTTATATCTTCGACTTGGACGTTTTTTGTTTTCGATATTCCCGATTCTATTTCCGGTTTCAATATCTTTAATACGGTTGAATCGCACTCCTCTCATTAGTTTTAAAAAACAAATGAAGTTCATTTATTAACTTGAACAAATTGAATTCCGCTTACTGATTTGATGACAAAATGGATTCCACCTTTGTTGATTTGAAAGCAAAACGACATCTACTTTCTGATTTGAAAATACTTACTAAATTTCGATTGAGTAGTTGAGATGAAATAATCAATTATTAACAATCGAGTACGGATAATCGAGTACGAATAATCGAGAGTGCAATCGAGATAAAGAAAAAGAGAGAAAAGGGCGAATGAATACGAGGGAGGAAAAGAAGGAAAGGAAAAAAAGGGAAAGGAATAAAAACTTGAAAGAGTCGATGTTTATGCTCTCCAAGGAGTACCGGTAAGCGGGCTACAACCTTCAATGCCTTTTTTTGAAAGGCCGCCGGTGTGAAGCAGGATAAAGAGGCCTTTGGTCAGAATAGGCTATATTACAGTGGCAATCTCCCAAAGCTAGAGGATCCTCAGCATTGATCCATTGCCTGGAAGTCACCTACTCGTTTTCCGTGAGTTCGCGGAATCTTTTACGAAGGTCTAAGTGTTCCCTGGTGGCCCTCCGCTGCGCTACGGGGCCAGGGGTCTTCGCTTCGCAACGGCCGCGCATACAGAGTAAGGCTGCTTTCTTTCCGAGGCTTTCGATGTCAACTCTACATCACCTTTCTACTACGTACATGTAGGAAATACACTTCAAAATCATGTAAAGGGGTGCTAACTTAAAGCTTCAGCCCGGCCGGAAGCTAGAACTTTCGGCCTTCCGCAAGGGTAAGTTTTCCGGACTTCGCGGTGTGATATTCGTAGCTACTACCTACTACTACGTACTACGTACTTCTCTCCCCCCTTTTGAGTACATTTCGAAAGTATAAGTTTGCAAGGGATCTAACCAAGGCTTAAACCAATCAACTTACCTAAGAATCCAGCCTTGAAAAGTATCTTAGGGTTAGTATTTAGTCTGTGCAATTGAGTTGATAGGGCTTTGAGCCATCCAGAAACCACCGTTCTTCGATTTATGGGCCTAAACTGGGTCCGACCTTTATTCATTGGTGGGGGGTAGTAGTAGTAGCTTTCCTTGACGCGATGCAGCTACTAGCTATTCTCCGAGCATCCAATCCATACCAATACCTTCTATCAACTCGGTGCGGCCAGCTGTTCTTCGAGCATCTAATCTATAGCAATAGCCTTCTGTAGCGCGATGCAGTCAGCTGTTCCTCGAGGGTTTATTCTAGAGCAATAGCCCTTTACAGTGCGATGCAGCCAGCTTTCCCTCGGGCATTCAATCTATAGCAACAGCCCTTTAAAAAAAATTAAATGTAGCCAGCTGTTTCTTTCACCATTCAATCAATCATAATAGCTCTTTGAAGTGCGATGCAGCCAGCTGTTTCTCGAGCATCTCCCTCCTTACTATATTAATCAGTTATTATGGTGCAAATGGTTCACCAACAATAAGTCAAAATGGTACTTGATTTCTGCTTACTCCTTAACGTTCAAAAGAGCTGGATCCTTTCATACGATTGGAAGGAATCCTGTGCACTAGCTATATAATAGTGTTTTTGTCGAAGTTAGGGGTTCCTCGGGAAGCGTGCCACGCTAAGCGAGCTAAGCTCATCCGTGCCTGAGAACTTGCTACATCACCCCCAACTACCTCGGGTCGGTGTTGATATACCGATACTTATGAATATAAATCGAAAAGAAGTCGCTTTTAAAGCGATAGCTTCGAAGTGCATATATGAAACACATGACTTTCGGCTGAGCGAGTTTTAAATTCATTAGTAAAAACGAATGCAAAAGCATATCACCGTTAGCTTAGCGTATAACGTATACTACGTATTTCGAATATGTAGCTTCTCGCAAAAAAAGCAAGTCGGAAGGAGGTATGAAGATCATTTTTCGATTCAATTCTTTACGTAAGCTATTAAATATATATAGAGGGAAGAGCTTTAGCATATTCTTGATTGCGAAGAATATAATCATATTAAAATCGAGGGTGAAAAAAAGAAGAGGGAGGAAAAGAGACGTTTGAATGATACTCGAATATGTTTTATATGTATATATGTGATTGATTGATAATAGCTCAAAGAGGAATCAACTACTCGTCTATATACTGCCTTACACGTGATGCATCTACGTATCGGACGTGCCTGATAGTAGTACTAAATACATGGACAAAACAAATACAGGCCACCAGCTCCACCACAGTATATAGCTCTCAGTACTCTCACACCTGAATATGCACGTTTTTTCGCACTCCTGATTATATCAAAAAGGCTAGAGATCAGTCCGAATACCAACGGAGCATCATCGAAACCTCAAATAGTGATTCCCCTATTATTGTGAGCCTTATATAAATAGTCCGTATACGTGATTATTATGTTAAAAAAGAATGAAATAATTAAACAGGTATTCGAATTGCAAAAGTAAATCGAATAGCAAGGGTTTAGATTTCTTAAGATTATAATCAGCGGGAATATTTGATCAAAGTACTAATACTTTAAAGGAAAGTAATAGCCGTTTATTGCGTATAAAATCGATGGGTTTATGGGTGAATATTGGAGCTAAGCGAATCGACTCGATTCCCCTCAATATTAGGTGTGAACCCCGCCGGTTCAACAACCTCAAGTCATCAAACCTTAACAAAGATTTTTGCGAAACACTTCTACTACTTATTAGAGGAATTCCTTCTTTTGTTGCAGTATTGATGACCTTTTCCCTTTGATCCCTGATCCCTTTGATCACAATACCTTAAGTACCCCCCCTCCCTTTACTTTTCCAGCCCTCTTTCCCATCGACTACAGTCTCTAATAATGCCACCCAGAACCCCAGCGCAAATTTCTGGCATAGCTAAGGCAAACGCGACCAAGGCAGCCAATCGAGCTGCTGCTAAAGCTAGAAGGAAGAAGGCTTCCGCGCCTGCTCGACCCGAACCTGAACCAGCAGAAGACGAGGCGGAAGAAGAAGAGTACGAATCTGACGAAGACATAGAAGACCTGGCCGAGTTCCACGGCTTCCTTAACGAACCACCTGCCGAAAAGCGAGCCCGACTCGCATTCGAAAACGACGAAAAGAGGAAAGAGGAGAAACATAAAGCAAAGATGCCTTATTAACACCGCCCGCGCCCTCGGCAGCCACTAATAAGGTAGCAGATGACTACGGTAAGAGCTCCTTATCACTCCAGCAGCGGGAGAGCTTGTCCATCTTCCGCAAGTACAGTAAGAAGGACGTCATTGCTATTGCTAAGAATACTTATAACCACATGAACCTCTCTAAGCTTTCACAATTGAACGCTGCCTTGCAAAGCACCAGCGAACTCGATATAGTCTGGGAAAATGGAAAGCTAGAAGGCCGCGAACCTATCGGGAAGCTTTCAGTTGCAAAAGCGATTCGAATCTCTATAAAAGCAACGAAGTTATAAATACAATCCTTCTTAGCGAGTTGGAGTAAGTCTTTCTTTATACTACGGGTATTAAAGAAAGTATTGTATTGCTATTTAAAAGTACGCTTTGAATTCAAAAAGAAAGAGGAAAAGGAGAAAGAACTAAGTACAGGAAGTAAGGTCTTATAAGCAGGCGCGCTGAGACGGGAACCAGAGGTCACGAAGTAGCGTGTAACCCACATGCGTGCTCAAGGCCTCGTGACCTGCCTTACGGAGTAGCGTCGCTATCACCGTAACAGATACTAAAAGTTCGAAAATCATATAGAATCCAATCACGTTTTGTGCCATTTCAAAATTCTGCCGCCCGTTACAGGCCGCAATTTTTGACTAACCAATCAATCCTTTTGAAGACATTAGATACATTTTTACCTAAAGCTACATTCCCTTCTGTCCCCCCTCCTCCCCCTTAACTCTATTATAATACAAAGCTCGCAAGCTCGCTTTGATAATTTTTCAACTTGTAATCATAAGTAGCTCACATAAAAGCAGCTTCAGATTCTCCTTTGATATCCCAATCGTCCCATTCAGGGAATTCGTTCGAAAATTCTGCCAGTTTTTCTGGCGTTTCAAAGCAGATGGCCCATAAATCCAATACACCGCTATTTACTACTTTCGTTGGAATAAGCATTTGCAGACTCCCTTCGTCATCGATCGTTGATAAACGCAACGCTTTCTCCGGCTCTGGTATCATCAATGACCTGATGTATTCCACGGTGAGCTCTTCTTCACCGTATAATTCAATCTTCTCAACTTTTCCGTCTTCGTTTTCTTTTTCCCAAGTCAATGGGATCCACGCTTTATCTATACTGTCTATCTTCTCAATATCCGCTCTAATAACACAATACCAATCCGACTCTTGGCCAAACCAGCCGGCAGGTTCTTGTACTATTTGAATTATTAGCTCCGCGAAATATGCAAAGATCTGTATAAATCAACTCACCCATATAAACGCCAAATCCTATTGAGTTAAGGTAAAAATCTTCGTTATCGAAGGCTTCATCTCTATGTACCTCGTTTTTTTCATTGATGAGATCGGCTTCCGCCCATAATTTGCGGAATTAGTATAGGCTTATCCTATATATGAATCAGGTAAAACAAACTTACTTTGGCAACTGTTCGGTAGCCGATGACTTTCCTGTTATCGTCTGCTTCAGCTTTACTAAAGCAAAAGCTCAAGGCTAGCAAGGTCGCGCAGATAGACGTCGATAGTAGCATGGTATTTGCACAAGTCTTTTAATGCTGCGGGATAACATAAGGGAAACAAGCTTGCAAAGGAAGAGGATGATGAGTCAAGGTTGAAGCAAGGTAGGGAGAAGAAATGAGTATGTATTTATCAAGCGGCTTTGAAATTTCTACGTCGGCTATAAATAATGGTGTGGCTAGGTAGTAATAGTCGGCGCTAACGGAGTAGAGTCGAATTTACGCTGTATTGACTATTCATAGTATTGCAATCTTTCATTTCAATTTGAAAGGATCAACGTAATTACTCGTAATAATAGATCGGATTGAGTCTCTTAACCTTTCAATACCATGCGTTCAGGGGCGTTTCAACACTTTAATCCTCTGTCCTCTTGTAGGCCTCGATAGCACGGTGGCTTAGCATATCAATCCTTTCAGCCTTAGTCGGCATAAGCGACTGCGGATCGGGAGCAAATGCGGATTTTCAATCATAAAAGAAATAACTAAAAAACGAATAAAGCTGTTAAATATCAAATTTGATATTTAGAGAGGGCCCAGTTACGCCAATTTTGGATTCATGTTTTGACAATATAGCTCTTTTCGTTATCAAGCTATTTGAACTCCAAGTCGAAAAGAAGACCGATATTTTTTCGATTTTTATCGGAAAAAATCGAAGATCGAGATTTGTACTCTCCCCACCCCATGAATACATATCGAAAGTATAATTTCGCAAGGGATCTTACCAGGGCTTAAACCAATCAACTATAAGGATTCAGCCTTGAAAAGAATCTTTGAGCCAGTATTTAGTCTATACAGTGGAGTTGACAAGGCTTTGAGCCACTAAGAAACCACCGCTCTATGATTTATGGGCCTAAACTGGGTCCGACATGTATTATTCATGGAGTATTAAGAAGTCCACAGAGAATAAACTCATCGTAATAAAAATAAAATGCACGGCTTGAGCAAAATTTATCAGATGTAATGTATAGAATATTCTATATTTCTGTTATAAAAATAGTAATTTTATTATAAAGGTAATATCTCTACTATGAAAATAATATTTATTACACAAAAAGTAGAATTGAATAAGCGAAAGCAGCTTGCATAATTAAGAAAAAGCTCAGACAATTAAGCGAATATTCAAGAACATTACCTTAAAGGCAGGTAGGGGGTCATTTGAGCGGTCCTCTGACTCTCTTTTATAAAAGACGGTTATTAGACCGTTTAAAATCAGTACTAATTACAAATCAGGAATAATTCATCTTTTTGATCGTCCCCGAGCTTAGGACCGTCCTATAGCTGTCCTATGGCCGTTTTCGTTTATATTTTTAAAATAGGCTTATTAATAAGCTCGTTTTAAAAAATTGAATAATTCGATAACTATTTTCTAAAAAAATAGTTGTAAATAAAAATTATCTTTTTAATAGAATTGTTTTAATAATAATTTAATAAACTCGATGCCAAGATATTTCTCGGTATCGCTGCTACGGCTTGTATATCAACGCTTTAAATTTTTTATAGTCGGAATCGATCGATTGAGCAAAAGTTCACCCGCGCAAGCGATACCCTCAATCGCTTGCGAAGAAGGGAGGGGGGAGAAGGGGGGGGGGCATGGTAAAGGGGTGGTGTAATAAGAGGGTGGTATATCTAGTAGAGGGTAGACTGCTATGCAATAAAAAGAAAATAAAAATTATTTGCTTACTAATTTACGTTTTCGGGGACGGTTTCAAGTTCGGGGACGGCCTTGGGACGGCTACAAAACGGCCATAGGACGGTCTCAAAACGGTCTTTTCGTAAAAAGACCGACTTCTATAAACGACGATTTAATCGATCAAAACGGTCTTATTTCAGTAATAATCTTTTAACAAAAAGACGAGCTCTTATAAAAAAGGTTTAATCGATTGAAACAGTTTTATTTTAGCTACGATTCAAATAATTTGAATTGTTTGTTTTCAGATTCTATTCAATTTTAAGTATCGGCCCAAGGTGATCCACTAACTATGCTAACCTCTTAGAATCGTCTTTTAAAGAGACCGTCATCGGATTATCAGCTGACGGTTTAAATAACCTTCTACCTGCCTTTAAGGTAACTTTACGATCATAAAAATCATATTCGTAATATAAATTAAACAACGAAATGAGATATATTACTGGATATATAATGCACGAGTCGGCGTCGTCAAGCAGTTTTTTAATTGTCGGCATTTTATCTTGAAAATCTTTATCAAAAACGATCAAGATTCATGTTACGGTAGTAGCGGCGCTACTTCGTAAGGCAGGTCACGAGGCCTAGGGACAGGTAGGACACGTGTATGGGTTACACGTTACCCCGTTGCTTCCCGTCTTGGCCAGCCTGCCTCTAAGACCTCTTCTCTTGTACCTAGATCTCCTGTTCTCTTCTTCGTCTTTCTTTCTCACTACAGAGCGTACTCTTAGGTAGCAATGCAATACTACCTTCGACAGCCGTAACAATTCAAATACATATACTTTTTTTCTACAGCATTAAAAGATCAGTTTCTTTATGATTTGGAATTCAAATAACTTATATAACGAAAAGATCTATACTATTTAAACTTGGGTATAGAAATCGGCGTAATCGGGCTCTTTTTAAATGTGAAAGACCTAATTATAAATCTAGCCTTTATTTAGTTATTTCTAATATATTTAAAAATCCGTACTTGTTTCCGATCCGACTGAGACTGAAAGGATCAGAAGCCCACTCAAGCGAGCCGACGATTATTAGTTTGATGTCTTTTAAAGTTATGAACTCCAAGGAGCATCCAGGTATGATTGGCTACGATTGAACCTGATAAATTTGACTCTAAATTTAGTATGATATTTGATATGCTATATGGAAATAGCTTGGCTCAAGACGCCAGACCCTTAACATTGCACTCAGTGGACAAAATATAAAGAATACCAAGGTGCCTAGTCATCTCTTACATTGAATTTCATTTGTGAAAGAATCCGACCTGGCTGCGCCAAGTCGGCACAACCAAACCGGGTCACCCAGCAACCCGGGACACTTTCATCAAAACACTTATTAAACTACAACCATTTAGTATAAACATCATAATAAGAAAATCAACATGCTTAGAAAATATTGCTTTGCAGATTTTTATTACAGATATAAAGATGTAACTATTTCTTGCAAGTCAAAATATCATAATATATTGAAATTATAGCTAAAAACAGTCCCAAATAATAGAATTTCACTTGTCCGTCTTAAAGGTCTTTGCCATCAAAACTTTAATTAAACATAAAGGAACCACAAGTCGACAGGAAAGGCTTGAATCTATCATATTATGAAAGGAAATCATTATTGGATGAAATTTGGTAGTATAGAAAATGTTTTTTTAAAGGAAGTCCGATTTTCGTACTCCTTATTAGCTATTCTGACATAGACACACACTCCGTAGTAAAGCAGTGCCCGCCTGTAATATCAAAAATACACTAAATGAACACCAAAAGTGCACCACAAGTACTATCTTAATCACTTTAATCCGCCACAACGTTAGAACAACTACGTATAATAGAATTGTATTAATTGACTATTACTAAAATCAATATGGTGCACACCTCATACCGAATCAATTACGGTATGGTCAGTGGGTGATTTTCGATCGATTTTAAAGGGCAAAAGTAGGTGTCCCGGGTTGCTGGGTCTCCCGGTTCGGTGGTGCCGACAGGTCGGTATTTTTTGCAATAATACTCAAGGCAACCGCGACGATTAGTAAGAAAATGCAGCCATGCGATCATAGGGCTACCCCATCTACAGAGAGAAAGAGAGAGAGAGAGAGCACGAGTCTCGTGTGCGTCCAGCATACTCAAATACACATTGTAATTGCCACATCCGGGGCCGCATGGCCCGTTCAAGCACGATTCGCGGTCCAACATCTACCCCTATTTTTGAGATACATTCATATACGATTATATCCCGTACAATAAGTAAGTAAAAAGTACGAATTATCTCGCCCGTTTATCCTTCTTGTCTCGGCCCGATTCCTTCCATCTACTATATCGATCTGTGATGAGCCGACAGACCTTATCAACTGGTGTACGGTACATGAAGAGTGTTTCTCGGATAGAGTGGGCCAAGATGCTAAGCGTAAGGTACCTAACTCGGTCAGTACGGTAGCAGTCAGTACGTACGTACTCGTATTGTACGAGTAGGAGGCTGTGTGTGGGGTGCACTGCAGTCTGCATGAACATACGAGCAGTGCAACCGCGGTGGTTCTGTATGGAAGGCTGTCTTGGAGTTCGATATATATATATATATATATTTATATATATTCAGGCATGGTGGTTGTTCTCTTGAACGCTTGGTCAGAGTATAAGTCGTCATCGTAGATTCAAGCCCTCGTCGTCGTCGTCGTCGTTGTCGTCGTTGTCGTCGTCGTCGTGTTCAGATAAGGGATGACAAGGGATGACCCTTGGGGAGAGAATGTCAATATAAGATCGCTTGCTTATCGCTCATGGCATGACGTCAAGGCCCCACCATGCCACCGCTACGGTGTCAGGTAATATCAAAACCATCATAAGCGTCAGTGCAAAATTGCGCGGTTGCAGTCGGGACATTTTATATTTCTATGTTTTTCTCTAATATATATATCTATATATATATACACATATGTACATATATATGGATTCCTCAATCAACAACAAGAACAACAACATATCTATTTCTCAATTACATTAGCCAAGAGAGATCTTGCGGGCCTCTGCCCTGCCCTGCCCTGCCCAGCCCTCCGCTCCCGCGCCTTCCGATCTCACCTCACTCACAGCATCCAGCCAATTCCCAAGGCAACTCAACTTAACTTCCGCATTTCGTCGTACTCGTATCTTTCTCAAGTCCATCGTCGCTGCCGGCCTGCTCAGCTCAGATTTGAGTCCCGTATCCCGCATCCTCCCCCCAACCAAGACTTTTGGCTAAACCCGCTGACGCCTGCGCCCACCCTCCGCCGCATGACGATGTATATATGTATATCTTATCTCTTATATATCTAATAAATTATATATATGATAATGTCGGCAGCCGATGACCACCACCCGGGCCTCTCTTTGGAGCCAACCAGAGTACTTGTCAGCAACACATCAGCCGGGCCTCTTCCTCAGCCTTTTCCTTGTCAGCAGCTCTACGGAACCTCGCACGCAGACTTAGACGACGATCCAGATCCAATGGCCGTATCACCACTCTCAGACGAGGATGCCCAGTCTCTGATCGAGCTGTCCATGAGCAGGGCGGCGACGCGCCTCAAGTCACCCCTGACCCCAGCCGTGGAAAAGGCGGCTGCCATGGAAGAAATGGACGGAGGAGGCTTTTTCGATAGCGATGATGTCGAAACTCCACCAGCTGCAGTTGAACAGCAATCCGAAGCGGACCTTTCAAGCCCAGGCTCACCCAAATCCAAGAGCAGCTCAAGCCTACCCGTGCCCGAGAATGTGCCTGAAGTAATAACACAAGCCGAAGCAATCTCACCTGGGCGGCTTCCATCGCCAAAGATGGAAGAGCCGGCTTCTCCCACTCCGTGGCATCCGGGGCGGAAATCGTTGACTTTTGACCCGAAGGAGCATGGACGCCAGTCATCGATGGCTACCGTCTTTGGCGGCAACAGTTCCAGGACCAGATCTCTCTCTGGAGGCGCTGAAGCTTTAAAGAAGCTGCTCCCAAAGGGATTGCCATCGATCGCTCAGGTTGGGCATTTATTTGGGTCTTCTTCAAACAACAGTAGCAAGACCCGATCTAGCGGCTCTGTCAAGCTTGCCAAAGAGTCTTCTTTCCCACGCTCTGCTCGTTCACCTAAATCCAGATCGCCCGAGCGGTCTCTCTCACCACTCTCCTCCGAGCCGATCGCGGCTCCTCAGCCGCAAAACATCAAGGAAACCACACCTTCTGGGCCGAAACGGCCTCCGATCCTCCGCCGAACAACTTCCGATAATTCGCTGCTCTACCACTCCCTCTCCAGAACATCGTCTCTCGGGGACGATACTCGCTTCGAAAATCACAGGGAGCAGGTCAACTCACGTGTCAAAGCAATCCGGGATACCCTACAGGACCGATCCTCCTTCAGATTGCCACAGATACCAACCATACCTACTGGCTTTCCAAGCCTACCAAGTATTCCCAGTATGAAACCTCGCACCTTTAGCTTCAGCATGAACTTTTTGAACTCCAGCAACGTCCCCGCCAGATGGAGACCAGATTCGACTAACAATGTGCTCCCAGGTATTCTTCCAAGTGCAATAGTCAAGAAAAAATCTTCCGTAGCGGCTCCTGCAGTGAATCCTGGAACGGGCGGCGCTGCTGTATCCAGGTCAGAAGCGTCTTTAGAGACTAGTCGGCCCTTGATAGAAGGTCCAAGTACAACTTACCTGGACCGGGCCTTGGAAAACCTTACTGGAGACGTCGTAATTATGGGTGGATATCGGGGCTCTATTCTCCGGTCGGCGAGAACAAATCGGCAGGTGTGGGTGCCTGTGAAAGTTGGGCTCAATATCAGGAAGGTTGACCTCGAGGTTGGCTTGGAGCCCGAGGATGAAGAGCGTATGACAGAAAACATTTATCCATCTGGGATGATACAGAATATAGGGCCCATCGATATCAGTAAACGCCTGTTCAAGCGCCTGTCAGAGAGCGAGAATGCGAAAAGTGGCAAGCTGAGGGTTTGGGACTACGGGTATGACTGGAGGCTGAGTCCGCACCTTCTAAGCCGAAAGCTACAGAAGTTCCTCGAGGGTCTTCCATCCAACAATTCCAATACATGTGGCTCTATGGAAGGAGACCGTGGCGCTCTAGTCATCGCACACAGTCTCGGGGGTCTCATTACTAGGCATGTGGTCAACCAACGGCCAGAATTGTTCTCTGGTGTTATCTACGCTGGTGTTCCGCAGTCTTGTATCAACATTCTGGGCCCACTGAGGAACGGCGACGCTGTTCTGCTTAGTTCTCGGGTTCTTACAGCACAGGTCAATTTCACATTGAGGACAAGTTTTGTCCTACTTCCGGAGAATGGCGCATGCTTTGTGGATATCAAAACGAAGGAAAAATACCCCATTGACTTTTTCAAGCTCGATAACTGGATCAAGTATCGATTGTCGCCGTGCATAGACCCACCGTTGCCACCCAAGAACCCGCCTTCGGGTCCATTTGGAGGACTGCTTAACCTGCCGAGCAGCCTATTGAGTTTGCCTTCACCTGGAAGGAAGCCCACCTCTGGACCTTCGTCACCGACGTCCCCCAATCTTGACGGCTCCGATGAATCGAGACGATCTCCCTCGCCGCCGACAAAAATGACCCGGGCTGCTGATGCCATCCGAGGCATGGAGCATGGCACAGACCGGACCCTGGCACCTCAAATGGCAGGCATGGGCAATCACTCGAGTCCGGTCAACAAAGGACATAGCACAAACTCGTCCGTCTCGACTGCCGTCACTATCCCGCGAGACAAGGCGATCGCCTACCTGGATCGCACGCTACGGGAGACGAAGAAGTTCAAGCAAGAGCTTTACTTCAACCCCGCACATTCCGATGTGAACGCGTACCCCCCTCTGGCTTTGATCTATGGCAAATCTATCCCGACGTGTTGCGGGGCGAAGGTCGACGGGATCGACTCCATCCCGTGCGCAGATGTGTATGATAACCTCGCCTTTGCGAGCGGGGATGGCGTGTGTCTGGCGCGAGAGGCGATGTTGCCCGAAGGTTATAAAGCTGTCTATGGAGGCCGGGTGCGGAGTGATCGCGGCCATGTGACTTTGTTGGGGGATCTTAATGCCGTCGGTCGTGCGATTGAAGCCGTGATGAAGGGCAGGGTTAAGGGTATTGGGAGGAGCATTAGCCTTGGTGGGATTACAGAGGGGACTGTCACATAGGGGGTGAGACTCTCACATAGGGAGGGAAGTGTATTACTGTAATGTATTTATTTCTTACCTTCCCCTCCGGATAGGTCGAGCGAAGGTAATTGGATTAGCTCGACCGTTTTTTGAAAGGTCGGATTGTGATGAGATGGTAGAAGGGAGGAAGGGAGTTGAGCTGAGCTGAGAGACTTTGGCAGGTGCCCTTTTTTTTTCTTTTTTTCTTCTTTTTTGTATAAAGCATAGCGAGAAAAGATTGCCAGCGTAAAATAAATATCGAATACGGGATTCGGGAATATGAGACTGACTGGTTTGAATCAATACATTTTTAAGTAATTAATTGGTATTACGACGTCGGGTTTAGTAGGACGAGTCAGCGGCGAGTGCGAGATGGGTCGATTGATTGATCTGTCTGTCGTTGTTTACCTTTATATATGTCCATATATTTTTGGTACGAGAGATATATATATTTTCCTTCTTACCAATTCGTCTTCTCCTTTTTCTATCTCATTTTTGTGTATATATATATATATATATATATATATATTATTATGCTCCCTTCTTTTCTCTTTCGCATCTTTAGTCCCTGATTACATCTCATCTCATGTCACATCATCTATCTTTCTACTCTTCTTTCCCCTTTTTCCCTCCTTCCATTCTTATCTCTTTTTCTCTCCTCCCTCTTGGAGATATAGAAATGTGAATGTGTATATATATATATCTTTTATTATTTCTTCCTCTTCCTTTTTCTTTTTCTTTTCTTCTTTTTTTCCAAAGGCTTCAAAACCCCAAAAACCTCCGACTTCTTATATTTATATATCTTACAGAAAGAAAGAAAGAAAAGAAGAAAAGAGAAAGGGAGAGTAAGCTGCGAAAGAAAGGAAGAAATTTCTCAGACGCCCCTTGCCTACTTACCTACCTATGTAGCTAGCGCTTATACATATTAATACATGTTAAATAATCAATTGTTAATCAGATTTAATCAAATAAATCATCAACCAAATAATCAACCAAATAATCAATCAATTGATCAAACACACGAAAAAAAAAAACCGAAAAAAAAAGCAAAAAAAAAGCAAAAAAAAAAAGCAAAAAAAAGCAAAAAAAAGCAAAAAAAAGCAAAAAAAAAAAAATAAAATAAATAAAAAGGCTCCTCGCTTGTCACCAAGTAAAAGACCACGCGCCTCCTTACCACCAACCCCCCCCCCCCCCTCGTCCCGTCCCGTACGTGCAATCCCGTCCCTTTCCGTAAGGTAAATAAGGTAGGTAAGATAGATCACATAAACAAGTACCTAGTAAGTAGACGAACGAAACAAGTGAGTGAATGAGCGCCGACGATTTTTTTGAATTAGTTAACTGATTGATTGATTGATTGATGTGTGGATACGGTATGCATGTGCGCTGGACCTCGCTAGTGAGACGGGGCGGATGGATAGATAGATGGACGGACAGAGAGATAGAGAGATGGATGATAAATAGCCTTTTTCTCACGATAGGTGGAATATACACACACACACACACACACACACATTTTCACCATGTGAAGAATAGACAGATCCCTTCATCGCCCGTCGAGTCTGCTACAGGAACACAGCCAGCAGGCGTAGCTAATACAAGTGCCGTCACAAATTATGAAGGCTTATTCTTTTAGACTGGACGTTGTCCTCAAAACAGGAAAGCGAATTATAGACATGAAAGAAAATCATCACTGTGTTGGATTATGTACATGAAGCCAAGCTACTTACAGCCAGGCGCGTCTCGAAAGCTTATTCAGAGACGAAAGAAGCCTCATAAAGATGCCAGAGCGCAGACACCAAGCCCTATTCCCGATTCCCCTACTATGTCGCACCTCCGTAACGCCGCTATCAGCAAATCAAGAGGTATCACTTCATCGTCATTTCAATCGTCATCCGCTCGCAGAGTGGGGTACAGGCTTTCTGTACTCTTCTCCTCTTGCTTCACCTCAGTTCCGCCCATCGACACATCATGATCCTCATCCTCAACATACTCACGACGCTCGAGCTTGTCCTGGATGAGCTTGCGCAGGGCCTCGACCACACGGATGTTCTCGATCCAAGCCTCCTCAGCACGGTCCTTGGCCGACTCGCCACTCTCCGACTGGGCGCTCGGGGACATCACGCCAGAGAGAGCTGGGTCGATGTTGCTCGAGACAACAGAGTTGCGGAGCGTAGGAGTGGTCTCCTTTGATGATGGGGATGAAGAATCATCTGAGGAATCCATCTCCGTGCTGCGCATGGGGTTGGCGCTTCTTTGGAGCATGCCTCCCGAGTAACGGCGGCGGGGATCACTGTCAAAGTTGGGTCCGAGGGTTGACGTAGGCGCAGTGGCGGAGTGAGGTGAGTATCCCATCGAGACGGCCGGCAAGCTTGGGTATTGCGCTGAGGTGGAGCTGTGCCTTGAAATGGGAGACATGCCATGGGACGAAACGGGGGAGTGGCCCGAAGTGTAAGAGACGGAGCTTGATGGTGGAGTCAAGGCCGGGGTTCCAGATGTGGTGGAGTGCGAGGAGTGGTGGCTGGACATCATCGGAGCAGACACGTGAGACGAAGACGCGTGGGGAGCCATGTGACTCAGGCCATGGAGGGTCGTCTGGGGAGGGGAGTGGCTCTGGCGGAAGTTCACGCCGGAGTGAGTGTAGTGAGCACCTGGTTGCTGAATTCCGGCGGCGGCGGCGGCGTTGGAATTCTCGTACACGGTGGATTGCATCTGCTCCAAGAATTGATCGATGTTCATCAGGTCATTCTTGGTTCTCACGTTGGGAAGCGGCAGAGCGTATTGGTGTTGTGGCATGGGACCACCGTGACCTCCGTGGTGGCCGTCCACCGAAACCATCTGTGGGGCAGCGTGCATGTAGTCCAGTCCCCCGCCGTGGATTGGGATGCCGGCGAGAGCCATCAAGCGTTGACTCACTTGATGGTAGGAGGTGGGATCAATGTGTCTGCGCTTGGCATCACCGAAGAAGTCGTTGAGCGTGTCGAAGTTTCGCTTTCGGTCATAGGCGCCATGCCCTCCCACGTCTGCCCCATGGCCGACGGGGTAGTAGACTGGACCGTAGTTGCTTGGTTGTTGCGGGGCATAATAGCCGTTGTGGGCAGGGTGGTGGCCATAGTTGGGGGCGGAGCCCGGATGCATCTGAGGGGCGTGGTGATCATAATAGCCTCCGCCGGTCGCTGCAAGAGAGATGCGGATTAGCAACGGACACTACTCGCTGTGTGGGGTTTGTGATATGTGCGTGCAGAGGGACAACCATTGGTGTTGCTCTACGTACCTTTGCCACCCTGTCTGTATCCGGAGCTCTGACCTCCATGTTGTTCTGGGGAGCGCAAGAGAACCGAATCGTCGGCGTGGGTCTAGAAAGGTCAGCGGATGACTTCGGACTGTAGCAGCGGAGAGAGCCCATTACCTTAACGTGCTTCTTCAGATCTTGAGGACGCTTAAAGGCCTTTCCACAAAAATCACACTTGTGTGGCTTTAAGGGAACATGGACTCGGATATGGGACGTGATATGGTCACGTTTCACTGTGGTGGTACGGCATTGATTCCAACCACAGGTGAGATTGAGGTTGTTGGTGCTCTTGCGGCCAACGTGCTTCTCGCAAATGTGTTCCTGGCAGACACGTTAGTTGGCGGTTCCAAATAGATAAAGTTTTTTTTTTTTTTTTNTTTTTTTTTTTCACTTTTTTTTTTTCCAGATCGGAGCACGCGCGCTTCACTGGGCGCACCCCGGCGGGTACTTACAAAGAGCGCCTCGGCGGATGGGCATCGTTCAGAGCACTTGTCCCACTGACAAGAGAGATTGTCATCAGCGGCAATCACCGGGCGAGGAGCCTCAGTTGCGGCTGGCGGCGCGGCAACCTCTGGCGGCTGTTGCTGTTGCTGTTGCTGTTGCTGCTGCTGCTGCTGCTGCGGTTCTGGGGCCGGAGCGGACATTGTTTGCGCTGACAATGCTGGGATATGAATAAAGAGTGAGGGCTCGTCGAGATACAAGGAGATAGAGAGAGAGAGAGAGGGAGAGGGGGAGAGAGGGAGAGAGGGAGAGGGAGGAAAAGAGAGAAAAGCCCGAGTCGAGTCAAGTCGTCAAATCGGTTCGAGTCGAAAAAAAAGGGAAGCAGGCGATATGGTATCAAGGCGTCAAGTGTCTGACACGTCTTTGCGTCCCGGGGAAAGTGCGAGGTGGGTTTACTTGTACCTTTCGCGGCGGAACAGGTGCCACTAACGGTGGAAGCTAGCGTAGGGGAGCCTTGGCAATGCCTTGGCACCGACGCTGTCCCAATGAAAGAATTCTGACAGGTCGATCTAGCCAGTCCGGGGCGTGTAGGGAGTCAAGTGGGGCCGCCGAGGTGGTGGTGCATATGGATGCAAATCTGCCCCCCCGTATGCCGTATGCACTCACTTGTACTCCTAATTATGCGGTATCCGGTCGTGTGACGGACAGATTAGCCGGACCTGGGGCGTGAGCCTATCGCAGTCTTGGATCTGCCAAGATTCCCGGGTCTGTGCCAAGCGGGCTGTGTATCTTGGCGAGCTCTTTGCACCCAAGCAATTCCGTCGGGTGGGCCAAGGTCTCCTCTGCTTGGCTGCCGCGCCCTCCAACCTTTGCGTGTTTGGGTTGCGATAGAGAATCCGAAAACGAAAGGAGGAGGAGGAGGAGGAGCATCACATGACGAAAAAGGTGCCAAAACAAATGAAGAAAAAGTAAAGAGTGAGACCACAGTAAGAATAAGGACAAAAAAAACCAAACCCAGCCTCCCCTCCCCCCAAAAAAACCAACCACGTTATCCGTCTTGTGCCCTACTACTGGGAGTATTTAGCGAGGTAGGTATCCATCACTCTCTACTTATCACTCTACCTACTACTTCCTGACTCTGCTACTCGGACCGCTCACGAGAATCAAACTTTCCCATAACTCGCTGCGCTCAAGGTCCAGCTCAGGGGCAGCAGGAGCAGTCGCAGTCGTGGTCGCAGTAGCAGCAGTAGTAGCAGCAGGAGCAGCAGGAGCAGCAGCGGCGTTCATCCTGACCGGGCGATGCAAACGGTAACAGATGAACTCTATATCACAACGCGCACCAAGATACAGCTGCGAGTCGGGGCCCTCTCTGTCTCTGTCGAGTTTCGAATCTTTCCACATCATACTGTCCATAATATCTAGTTGCCGCCGTCCAAGAAAGTGAGCCCCGGATCAAGCCCCAAAGCAAAACGACAAGCCCAAGGTCAAACCAACCACCCTCGCAGAGGGATGGCCCATCGGCGATAGGGGTGGGGGGGGGGGGAGGGGGGAGGGGGCACTGCGCGATTTTGCCCAGCCCTTGGCCGAGCCCCCTCCTCCCCAGCGGGACGAGAGTGGAATCTCTTGGGAGTTTCCGGATGCCGAGCAAGCCAACGTTGGGTTGCGGTTTCGTACTTGCAGCGGGAAATGCCCAGAATCAAAGGGTCAACTGGGTGATGCCTACGACAAGGGGGAGGAGGGGAAGACCGGAGACGAGAACGACGAGAACGACGAGAACGACGAGGGCCAGGCGGCCAGGCGGCCAGGCGGATAGAGCTCACAAGAACGTGATATCATAAAAGCCAATACCAACAAGCACTTCCGTGGCTCTCTACACTAGGTACTCTGCTCTATCTACGGTCCGTATCTACTTTATCGGCAGCAATGATTTATATCATGTAGGTCAGGAGGGAGAAAGGGCCCTTGGGCTCGCAGTACAACAATAATGTGATGAATGCATGCATATACATGAGGCCTAATATACATACGTACATACGTACATAAGTACATACGTACATACATACATAAACACATACATAAAACAAAGACTCGGGTCTGGGGCAAACCTGGAGCTCCGGTGGTCCGCTTCTCGGATCTCGGGGTTTTGGATGGGTGGAGGAGCTGCATCTCTCTGGATATTAACAATGATAATAAGACGGACCGGTCCTGTCAGAGGTTCCGTGACCAGCCAGGGCATGATTCCGCATCCCCTCTTTTCCTCTTGGAATCGGCTAAACAATGGCCTCGGATAAAGAAAGCTTTTTCTGTACTCTGCAATGTGTCGTGGTCCAAATTTGGGACATGAATGAAAAGTATCTGAAGTACTTTTATTTGTAGGCAGAGAGAGAGAGGGAATGTGCAGTTCAGAAAGGGAGCAGAGAAGAAAGAAGGCTTGGAATGAATAAGTTCGGGGATGATGAGTAAGCATCAGCAATGTCTTGGATGCGATTACTGTAGGTACAAGTACGTAGTAGATGAGTCCTCTAAACCTACTTGTTGGACTACTAAACTTTCCCAAGGCCTTCGTCACCTCCCCAAAAGAGATGGCCAGTTGTACTATTGTAGGTCCTCGATACCAGCAAATCTCCTTATAACCCTTCTAACCCTTATGACCTTTGTAACTCTTATGACCCTTATGACCTTTATAACCCTTATAACCCTTCTGACCCTTCAGACCCTTATGACCCTTAGAACCCTTCTGACCCTTCTGACCCTTCTGACCCTTCTGACCCTTCTGACCCGTCTGACCCGTCTAACCCGTCTAACCCTTATAACCATTATGACCTTTCTAACCCTCCTAGCCTTCCTAACCCTCCTAACCCTTCTAACCCTCCTAACCCTCCTAACCCTCCTAACCCTCCTAACCCTCCTAACCCTCCTAACCCTCCTAACCCTCCTAACCCTCCTAACCCTCCTAACCCTCCTAACCCT